AAAAGGGCGGGCCATAGCCTTGGGACGGCCTGGATCGGATGAGAGGGGAGTGGCTTTGGCGGCGGACATCGTGTCGTCTGGTTGTGGGCTGTGAGGTTTCTCCGGGCTGGTGAGCGGGCTTGTTCAGCTGTCATGGCGGCTTGTTTATGGGCTGTCGTAGTACGTGGGCCGTTTGTATTCGAATGTAAACGGTTTGCTGGCGGTTACTTTCTTGAGCGCTTCTTTGGCTTTCGCTTGTTTGGCTAGGTTCTCTGCTGCCAGTTGCTTTGCTTCTTCTTTGTCTGCTGCCTGCATTGCTATTCTGTCTTCCTCCTCCTGGGCTTTTGCTGCTGCTGTCTTTTCTTGTTCTTCTTCTTCTCTCCACATGCTCTCGTAGGTTTCAATCATCTCCTGCTTTTTCCTTTCCTTTTCTTTCTTGGCTTTTACTATGCCGTTGACGGTTTTGCTTGTGGCTTGGATTGCTGTTCTCAGTTTAGTGGATTCTTCGCTTGATCTCATTAGCTTTTCTGCGGTTTCTGTCAGTTCTTTCTTCATACTGGAGACATCGGATAGGAGGGAGGTGATTGAATTCTGCTGTTCTGCGCGTCTGGTCTCCTCCGCCGCGTTTTGTTTGTTCTGCATCTTGGTTTCAGCTAGCAGGGCCATTGCGTTTATTTTGAAGTCTGTTAAGTCGGTCACCTCCACTTTCAGTCTCTTCTGATTTTCAAGTACTTCTTGCAGGATGCTTCGGAGGGTAGTCATCTCGTCTCTTTCCTCAGTTCTTTTTCGGTCACTCGCTGCTTTGTCTTTCTTGAGGGCCTCGATCTCGGTTTTCATTAAAGCTAGCTCTCTCCGGAGTTTTGCTACTTCAGTGTTGGCGACGAGTCTTGTTTCTCCTTGATTTCTGGTTGAGTTGGGTGCCTCGTATCTCTTTTTTGCTGCTGGATGGGTGGTTACTCTGCTGGCGGTGGCGGTCATCAGAGTTCTCCTGCATTCTTTTAGATACTGGCACCCCATGTATCTCGCACTGTGTGCTCCTACGCAGTTGGAGCATCTCCGGCTGGCGTTGGGCTTTCGGAAGTCCATGTCCATCTTGGCCAAGGGGCATTCCTTGAAGTCACGCGGCTAGGAGCAGTACCTGCACGATGGGCTGCTGCAGCAGGCTGCGGCTGTGTGCCACGCCTTATTGCAGCGTGAGCACTGCAGGACTTCTGTGTTGTGGGTACCCGGTCGCTGATGCTGCTGCCTGAGTGTGCGGGTGTTTATGGCTTCCTGCGCCATGACTGGGGCGGCTTCTGGGTAGACAGGTGCCTCGATAGGGCCTACATCTAGGGCTAGCGGCGTCTGGGCAGGTGTCTCCTTCGGGTCGTCGACCGGTTCTGGCATCGTCAGTTCTGGTGCGGCGACAGGTGCTTCCTCCTTTTTGGCTGAGGTTACCCTGGTGTCCCGGCGCTGGACAGGATTCTTCTTACCACGGGCTATGGTTTCGTGTGGCTGTGGCTGGCAAAGAGCTGTATAAGTCGGGCGGCAATTGATTGCTCGCTCCCTGCAGAGTCCTGCAAGGCTCGTTGAGTTAACTGAAAAGTACACCGAGCGTGCTTTTCTCTGCAGTTTACGAGACAATCGTTTCACAAATGGCTGGTATGGCTGGCTCTTCAACAAATGATGTGCTCACGGCCCGCTAATAACCCAAACGCAGACGAAAACCGATAGCGTAGTCGAGCCAAACTCAGCCGAATATCAAGCGAGTCTGACCAGTATCTAGCTATCGATAATCAGGCTACGAATGGGTAGTTAGCAAGCGAGAGAGTCACACGTGGTTGATCGGGCGGTTTGAGCGAGCGAGCGAGAGCTGTGTGCGACTGGACTGTCTGCGCTCCAATGATCGAATGAGACAACGCTAAAAGACTAAACACGGTCTTTTATAACTGATGGTTGGCCAGGTTTCTTCGCTTTACCGTCTAAAGCAAATAGCTGTTCCTGTGACCTCTTTATCCTGTGACATTGACAATAACACGTTGGCCTGGTGAGAGTAGGAAAATGATGTTCAACTAATCAGCACCCTGACTGTGTATTAAAAGAAGTTGGAACAGCTAAAGCATACCAGTCGTTTTAGATATGAAGTTGTAAGTTCATCATCCAAGCTAAGTTTATCCTGTGGATCTTGTAAAACATCAGGGAAGATGAGGACATGATTCTTTAGGATAATTCATATCAATATGTTTGTTAATTTGTTATTTGTTCTATTTGGATTTTTTCTAGATGTTTCTAGTGCAAATCTATATATATTTAGATTTGGGGATATTGGGGGGGGGGGGGGCGTTTCTAAATATATTATCTGTCAAAGAAAAGTGGCAACACTGGCCACAACAGAACATTACATTTAGAGTAATTGCCCTTGTGTATTGTAAAACAAACTGCGAGCATCGTAGATTCCAGGTAAATTCGGGGAGCATTTCTTGCAAGCTGTCAATTTAGTTAACATTTGTAGACCAGTTATTTTTTTTAGCCTTGCCTTAAATATATCTGTCTACCAATCCTGTTTAGTGTAAGCGAACAAATTAGTTTTAGATTAAGAGTGTTAAAAAAAATAATCACCCCACATAACAGTGACGGCTGCCAGATAGACTCAAAATTAGGATTGTTCCTGTTCAGTGACGATAAATATAAAAAAATTAAATAAAACCAGTATTAAATCTGCACTTGTATTTGTTGCTGTTTGTTTGTCAGTCAATCAGATGCCGTCTTCACAATGAAGGTTGGCTGCAGTGAATCTCCAACTGTCCTGTTGCTTGTGTGTAGTTGTGGTACAGTACTACTTTTGTAGTCTGGTACAAATAACAAACGGCACACAGACTTGGGATATCTTCCGAATAACGGTCCCCAAATTATCGAGGCAGAAAAAATACCCTAACAGGGCCTCAGTCACGTGTCAATTGTGAACTTCCGGGGACTATACAGCTACCGCCGAGAGTATCTCTCACGCGCATGGATTGGGGCTAAACTAGATGGCTGGGACTCACGAGCAAATAAAATGAAGGAAGCTGCAGGAAATGCGGTAGCTGCTGCTCGTGAGTCCCAGCCATCTAGTTTAGCCCCAATCCACGCGGCATGGGGGATACTCTCGACAGTGGCGGTATAGTGCCCGGAAGTTTGCAATTGACACAATCGCAATTGTTAGGGTATATTTTCTGCCTCGATAATTTGGGACCATTATTCAGAAGGTAGCCCAGCCTTGTTCCTTCATCTCATTTTTTTTGTTCCTGTTTTCCTCCTACCTTGCATCACTGTCCAGTTTTGCATTCTTTCCTCGACCGTTCCTTCTAGTATGATTTTTAAATGAGTGTTATAATTGGGCAAAATATTTCAATTGCCTCTTTTTTTTATGTGTCGGCCCTGTGGCTAAGTCGATGTGAATGCTTTGTAAAGCCGGGTTCGATCCCAGCTGCAGGCCATGCGCCTTGCATTGGTTTCGACAGTGGTATAAAGAAAGCTGACCGTCCAGAAAGCAATGGCAAACTACTGGACATAAATTTGCCTAAAAAAACCACACAGGGGCTGTTGAGGTTGGTTCTGCAACATCCTGTAAAGGATACACAACTACAACCTTTTTTTTTTTAGTAACTCTTAATATAAAAAGTCAGCTCTACTGGCAAATCCGGACGAAGAATAAACAGCCTTGGACGACTTAGTCAGAGTTCTCTCCCTTGGCCGCACTCCAAACAGTTATCGGAAAACAAACGAAACAAACGACACACTTACCTATCATCCTGCGGTTTGCGTGTAGGGCTGCGTACGGTTGCGTGAGGCATTGTGAATGGTTGTGTAGTCATCATCATGCGGTTGTTGGATTAGAGGTAGGGTTAGGGGTAGGGTTAGATGTTAAAATTTTGACGTAGGGTTTCGAAATAGTGGCCGACAATCTGATATTTGTGGGCTTGGCGCCACTGAAATTCTGCTAAATATGACGCCAATAGTGTGCGGCTGGTGCCCAATCGTTGACGAATGGTGCGTTTCACCAGCATCCAGAGGCCCACAAACATCAGATTGTCGGCCACTATTTCGAAACCCTACGTCAAAATTTTTACATCTAACCCTACCCCTAACCCTACCCCTAATCCTAACCCTACCCCTAACTCTAATCCAACAACCGCATGGTGGCAACTAAGTTGTGCGTCGGAAGAACGATGTTAGTTATGTGAGTGCGTCTAACTGCCATGTTGCTTGTGTCGTTTGTTTCGTTGTGGCTTTTCCGATCACTGTTTGGAGTGCGGCCACGGGAGAGAACTCTGACTAAGTCGTCCAAGGCTGTTTATTCTTCGTCCGGATTTGCCAGTAGAGCCAAAAAGTCTTACTCTTATAACTATAACTCTGTCCATGACTTCAGTAATTGATTTCCCCCCCCCCCCCCCCCCATGACATACACCCTATTCTCCGTCCTGTTTATCTTCATTTCCAGAGACTAAGAAGATTTTCTAGCTGCTTGTTAATTGCCCAATTTTCTGTGCCATACAGCACGGTTGAGTCATAACACTTGTCCAAGATTGGAGAAACTTCTTTAGTTAGTACATTTATTTCATTTTACATCAAAATTTGTCACTTATTTTTAATTGTATATTAGTATTACAGATCTGGCTGAGATCTCTATTCATGTAATAACTGTATGTACTGTTTATTTACCTTTTACCTTTACCATCTACCAACACATCCTTGTTTGGGTTCCTGGGGAGGCCAAAGTTTGGGTGGGGGGGAAATAGTAAATGCTTACTTTTTTTTTAAAATTCACCTGTAAATTTAAACCCATGACCACTAGAACTTATATCATTTATAATATTGATGACAGATTAAAACAATATGGATATCATGATTTGTTGAAAGATTTTAACATATTTTCTTGGGTTTGCATTGGTTTTTTTTTTGTTGCATTGTTTGTGTTCAGTTACTAAGCTTGAATTTTGTATGTGAAAAATACTTTTCTTACAGTAACAGATCACATTTTTAAAACAGAAAGGGAAACCATAATGGATCCAGCACTGCTAAAAGAACGTGAGGCTTTTCTGAAGAGAGCCAAAGCAACACCTGCGGTAGAGAAAAGGAAAATAAAGTCATCTGACAACAATGACAAGAAGGCTAAGAAGGCTAAAGTAAAACCTCCATTGCAGAAATCAACACGTAAGAGTTTCAGCTGTACAATGTTTTGGAACAGTTATTTCAGTTTGGAAAAAAATATTATTAGTTATTAGTGGGGATTATCAACATAGCACTCCAGACAGATCCATTTTTGCTCTGATCTCCTCCTCAGTTGTTTATCAGTCTGTTTATCTGAGTCTTGATGGCCAGTACATATTCACTTATGAAGAGAACTAACTCCTGATTAATATTACAAGTAACCGTTACTCAAATATTGCAGCCACCATAACTGTTATTGTGGATAGAGCTTTCTTGGTTTTAGTTATAATGTGGTGTACATGTTTTTTCAATGTTGGGTGTCTGTCAAATATTATACCAAGGTATTTCATGAAATCAGATCTTTCCACATCAGCAGCACAGTTTTACCATCAGCTCTGGTGTTCTGAAATTGGAATAATTTGAATCTAGTTGTCTGCAAATAATGATAAATGCTTTAAACATTACATGTTTATTACTTAAAGAACTGATTATGCTGACATGCCTAGAATCATGTTCTTTAAATTTATGGATATTATTATAGTGTTGTTTTCTGTATTCCTTCTCCGGGATTGCAGCCTGAAAATTTGATACCCAGCAGCTCAGTGATCACTTTTTTTTTTAATGCTACTTCAACAAGAACAAATTCCAGATACTCGGTTCAGTTGCATATACAGTATTTTTTTTTTTTTACCTGCCCTGTGGCTACAGAAAGTAACCTGTTGTCATGCGTGGGTGAAAGCATTCATGGCTGACTGCCTAATTACTATGAACACTTTGGATGGCAAGCATTTATAGATATTGTGTACTTGCTTTCATCATGGTTCATACATAAATACATGGTTAAATGCACACATACTGTTCATGCTTCTTTTACTTGTAAATCAAACATGCACACGTACATCTTATTCATGCACCCAGCCAGGTTTAACCCCCTACTTTCATATACATTCATTAAAAAATGCATGGTCAAATGCACACACACTGGTCATGCTTCTATACTTGTAAATCATACATGCACACATACATCTTATACATGCACCCCATCAGAATTTAACTCCGTACTGAAGTTCATATATACATACATACATGCATGGTCAAATGCACACACACTGTTCATGCTTCTGTACTTGTAAATTATTCATGCACACTTTCAACTTACACATGCACCAATCAGATTTAACCCCGTACTGAGACAGATGATGTCATTCTATCATTGTTTGCCCAACATCCTTAGCTTGCATATAATAACATTCTGGATAACAAATGTGTACAGACTGTTCACAATTCTATAGTTATAAACACATGTGTGCTTGCGTACACACATCTTATACACACACATAGACATGATAATAAACAGAGTACAGCATCACATTTTCATTTGCTGACAAGGTTTGTTCATTGCAGGTTATAAACATGTCACTTTCTTGTTTTTCTCAGACTCAGCAGATTATAAAGTGTCTGCAGGCAGCTCCCAATACAAATTCAGTGTTCTTGCCAAGATTGTCAAATTCATGAAGGTATGTTAATTTATAACTGGGAATAGTGTGAGGTAGGTCCGTGATGACTTTGACTGATTGAATACTCTGGTAATAACTAGCCAAAATGAATTGAAGAAGTTAAATGTTGAAAAGCTTAAGCAAAAGTAGCATTTCAGAAGAAAAAGAGAAGGTTTGGAAAAGGAGTTTTTTAAATCAATTGTGATGTATGAAAATGAATCATGGACTGTCAGCAACTTAGTAGGAAATTATGGAGAAAATACAAATATGTGGTTTTTAGAAGAAAGATAGGAATACTGGCTACAAAAAAAAAATTGGGATGAAATCATCTTGCAGAAGGTCATCATCATCTTGTGAAGAAGGCTAACTCACAAAAAGAATTAGTTATTCTTCTCTGAAAAAGGTAATCCACAGATTTTGGGATATCCTAAAATTAGGAGTATGTCATGAGGATATGTCATTTTAAGGATAAGGGCGAGTGAGAGGCATTGTGATGCCCAGTTGAGAAAGTGTTGGAAAGTTTAGCTCCAGTCATGATGAAGCAAAATGTTTCAGATCATTGCATAACTGAGGACATGATAACCAACAAACACCACACATCGTGGGCTCTAAGATATTTTTTATATCTATTTATATTTGAGTGGTTAAGCTGATTTTGAACTATTATAGCCCCACTGAAACTATCTTCATGGGCTATTACAGTTTTCATATTGTAAATAAACTGTGAAACTCCACATGTGGGTTCCGGAGCTTGATTTTGCAGAACAAAGAAGACACACTGTGGCCACCCACCCATCCCCCAACAATAATTTCATAGGAGCAGGCAGCTAATTACAGGTGTTTTTTTCAGATTCAAAGTCCATCTGCCTAAGAGACAAGGAACCAGCTGTCTGCCTAAGAGACAAGGAACCAGCTGTCTGCCTGAGAGGCAAGGAACTAGCTGTCTGTCTGAGAGGCAAGGAACTAGCTGTCTGTCTGAGAGGCAAGGAACCAGCCGTCTTCCTGAGAGGCAAGGAACCAGCCGTCTTCCTGAGAGGCAAGGAACCAGCCATCTGAGAGGCAAGGAACCAGCCATCTGAGAGGCAAGGAACAGGCCATCTGAGAGGCAAGGAACCAGTTGTCTGAGAGGCAAGGAACCAGCCATCTGAGAGGCAAGGAACCAGCCTGTCTGAGAGGCAAGGAACCAGCCATCTTCCTGAGAGGCAAGGATCCAGCTGTCTGAGAGGCAAGGGACCAGTCGTCTTCCTGAGTGAGAAGCAAGGAACCAGCCGCCTGCCTAAGAGACAAGGAACCAGCCGTCTGCCTGAGAGGCAAGGAACCAGCTGTCTGTCTAAGAGGCAAGGAACCAGCTGTCTGTCTAAGAGACAAAGAACCAGCTGTCTGTCTAAGAGACAAGGAACTAGCTGTCTGTCTAAGAGACAAGGAACTAGCTGTCTGTCTAAGAGGCAAGGAACCAGCCGTCTGCTTGGGAGACAAGGAACCAGCCGTCTGCCTGGGAGACAAGGGACCAGCCCTCTGCCTGAGAGGCAAGGAACCAGCTGTCTGTCTAAGAGACAAGGAACTAGCTGTCTTTCTAAGAGACAAGGAGCCAGCCGTTTGCCTGAGAGGCAAGGAACCAGCTGTCTGTCTAAGAGGCAAGGAACCAGCCGTCTTCCTGAGAGGCAAGGAACCAGCTGTCTAAGAGACAAGGAACCAGCTGTCTAAGAGACAAGGAACCAGCTGTCTTCCTGAGAGGCAAGTAACTAGCTGTCTGCCTAAGAGGCAAGAAACCAGCTGTCTTCCTGAGAGGCAAGGAACCAGCCGTCTTCCTGAGAGGCAAGGAACCAGCTGTCTTCCTGAGAGGCAATGAACCAGTCGTCTGAGAGACAAGGAACCAGCCATCTTCCTGAGAGGCAAGGAACCAGCCGTCTTCCTGAGAGGCAAGTAACCAGCCATCTTCCTGAGAGGCAAGGAACCAGCCATCTTCCTGAGAGGCAAGGAACCAGCCGTCTTCCTGAGAGGCAAGTAACCAGCCATCTTCCTGAGAGGCAAGGAACCAGCCATCTTCCTGAGAGGCAAGGAACCAGCCGTCTTCCTGAGAGGCAAGTAACCAGCCATCTTCCTGAGAGACAAGGAACCAGCCATCTTCCTGAGAGGCAAGGAACCAGCCGTCTTCCTGAGAGGCAAGTAACCAGCCATCTTCCTGAGAGGCAAGTAACCAGCCATCTTCCTGAGAGGCAAGGAACCAGCCGTCTTCCTGAGAGGCAAGGGACCAGCCGTCTTCCTGAGAGGCAAGGGACCAGTCACCTTCCTGAGAGGCAAGGAACCAGCCATCTGAGAGGCAAGGAACCAGCTGTCTGAGAGGCAAGGAACCAGCTGTCTGAGAGGCAAGGGACCAGCCGTCTTCCTGCGAGTCAAGGAACCAGCTGTCTGTCTAAGAGGCAAGTAACCAGCTGTCTGCCTAAAAAACCATCCATCTGCTTGAGAGGCAAGGAACCAACAGTCTGCATACAAATAAGAAAAAGAACGCTAAGAATAAGAAAAGGAATACTACTGAAGCACAACAATTGTGTGACAGTTTTGTTTTACATTATAGCAACTTTTATTTTATATATAACAATATCATGTATATTTACCATTGTTCACCTTATAACCCCATCTGGTGTGTAAATAAGCTTATGTTGTCTTTGATCAGATCATTTTCTTTTAGTAGCACTGGAGTTATTGATACAGACATTTGGTGTGTATTTGTTCTAATTCGTCTCTTTTAATGTTCTGCAACAACAGCATACACCACTAAGTGCTGTTTCTGAACACTAATGATTCAAACCTGTACTAGTAACATATGTAGGATTAGTGTATTTGCTTAGCTGAATAAATATTTGATGTTTGCAGACCAGACACCAGGCAGGAGCTAATGATCCTCTAGAGCTGGAAGAGATTTTGCATGAGACCAGCCAGTTAGACATAACTAGCAAAATGAAACACTGGCTAGCAACTCAGGTCTGTACTGACTGGTGTTTTCTGTGTTTGATAAAATTGTCATCCATAGGGGATTTGCCACTTAAAACATCTCTGCTTTCTCTTTTTGGGGGTGCACCAATGATTTGTTTTGTTTAATGTTATACATTTTCTAGCAGTGAAGCTCATTGCTGTTTTGCTGCTGCAGATATAGATGCTTGCACAAATTTCACTAAGCCCAGATTTGTATCCTGATTCTCGCAGTATTGCATTAATTTACATGCCTGCATTAATGCATCATTTTATTTATCACAGCATCAGATTTTATCCCAAAGTGAAAAAGTCTTTGACTCTTGCATTCATCAGTTTTGTCATACTTTCCATAAGTGTGACAAAAACAGTATGGTGTCATTTGCAACCTGAGCTGATGTAAAAAATAGGGAAGAGTCTGGAGGCACTGGAAACGTGGCTTTTGGGGGCAATGTTTTAAGTAATGTGAACAGCCAATGCAACAAACAATGATTGCCTGGATAAAGCTGAAGAAAGTAGAACATTATTTGCAGCTTTCAGAAGGAGGCAGTGTTCTTTGACCATGAGCTGAGAAGTGAGGCATTTGAGAACGTTGTGAATGTGGGACACATCAGCAGTAGACAAAGCAAGAGCAGACTCAGAAACTTTATACTAGATGATTTAAGACAGTGAATGCTAGGTGGTTTTAGACAGTGAATGCTAGGTGGTTTAAGACAGTGAATACTAGGTGGTTTAAGACAGTGAATACTAGATAGTTTAAGACAGTGAATGCTAGGTGGTTTAAGACAGTGGATACTAGGTGGTTTAAGACAGTGGATACTAGATGGTATAGTTACTAGATGCTCATAATGATGATGATAACAAATTCTAGCATACAAAATGTTATGTTGATTCTTTCAGTATCCTGATGCAGTTATCTTCTTTAATTTAAATATATGCCATTTCAGCTGTGTCCTGAGAAGTCATAATTATTAGATACCCTGTCTGTAGAATATTTATAAAGTGTGTTGAGTGGGGAAGCCAAACTCGCTGCTTCAGTATGTGGTGTTCAGTTAATATGTGTGAGGTCACCAACTGCAGCTGCATTATAAATCAACAGAATGCACCCAATGTAATTTTCACATTGAAAATGTAACATCGGTTGCATTATCTTCCCCATATGTCATTTTAGTGACCCTACAACAGATGTTCTGAAAGCTAGTCTGCCAGTTTCATCATCATTTCCATGTTCCCTTTTAGCAGGGAACAAATTTCTACATCTCATAAATGTGGTTTTACAAATGTTTAAAATTCATTAGTCACAATGAGTTATCTATATATTTTGAAAGAAGCTAAGGCCAGCAAACATATTGCAAACTCCAGAGAGAGGCAGTTGTCATTTATTGGACACATTACAAGAAGAGCAGACTGTTGTAACAACTGGCATGATTTATGGATAAAGAGGTAGAGGAAGAGATGATTCTTGACAGCCGGTTGTCTTAGCATGGAAAAGTGTCGGCAGGCGAACTGAAACATACTGATTAAGATCTCAGTATGTGGAGAAACATGATCGCCAATGTCAGTTAGCAGGACTTGATGATTATATTAGTACCCTTTCCTGAATCAGAACAGTGTCACAGCATTATTACAGACCTCTAAAAACTTGATCTGTTTTATATGTCACCATTGATACTGTAGTCAATAATTAAAATAAATCAGACAAAATAACCATTCTGGGCTAGCTGGACACTGTAAAGAGTTAGTCACAATAGTCTGAACTATTCTAGAGATTGCTTTATTATCTTTATTCTCACACTAGATGTGGGTATTATGCTGAGTGTGTATGTATGTAAGTTGTACCCCACCAGGTCGTCAACTTTTACGACATACAAGAAAGTGAACTAGAGACTGTAAAAACACTGACTCTCTTAAAAGAAGCAGCTCACAAAATGGGACTTGTTGCCAATAAAGATAAGACAGAATATATGATAATAACAAGACAGTTAAAGGATGTAAACTTCAACCACATAAAAATTAATAATACGAAAATGAAATGAACGGAAACATATAAGTACTTGGGAGCAAACTTCAACTGCTCCAACATGCTAAGAGAATAAATATGTGAAAACATACTATGCCCTTTTATGTGTGCTGAAGTCAGAGTCTCTATCTCGCAACACCAAGATCAGAATATATAAAACGTTGATAAGACCAGTAATTTTAAATAGCTCTGAAACTTGAAGCATAAGAAGAGATGAAGCCTTATTACGACAAATCTTTGGACCCATTAACAATGCAAACAGAGGGAAATGGAAAAAGAAGCAACACCAAAATTCATAATCTGTTTAAATCACCATTAATCACTGGCATTATGAGAGCTAATAGACTGAAATGGTTGTGGCACATTGAGAGAATGTCAGATGACAGATAGGTAGAAACTATACACAAGGGAGGTGAATGGTCATAGATCATGAGGCGGACTAAGAAGATAATGGTGTGGTAATGTCCAGACCTGCACAAACTTGGTGTCACCAACTGGAAAGAGAAGGCTAGCCAGGGAGATGAGTAGAGGCGGGTGATATCTGCAGCAATGAACCTCAAGAACTCGGAATGCTGAAGAAGAAGTTTGATGGAGATAAACTTTGTAACAAGATGTCTTAGAGAATCATTTCGAACATAGTTCACTAGAATATTAGAAGCAGTGAACATTTCTTTGTACACAGCTGTTGTCCATATAGTCCTTCCTAATCTCATGCTAATGATTCAACCAACATCATGTAGCAGATTTATTGCCTATTGTCACACCCAACATGGTTTGCTGGAAAAGGTCACAGCTTCTAGTTAGTTTCCCTGCCAGATGTGTGTCTGTTGTCCTATGTTGAGCTTGATGATCATGACCACTGCCTGTTCTTCCAGGAACCATAACTAGAATAATTGACAAAAGAAAATATCTGTGTGTGTGTGTCTTATCTTTGAGAGCATGCCTCAAAGCAGTCAGTAGACAAGTATTCCATAAAATCTAAATGATATCATTTGCAGGCACTGATCAATAATCCCAAGATCACAGTTATCAAGGAGGATGGAGTCAACAAGTTTTGCTTCAAGCCCATGTTTGACATTCACGATAAACGAGGTCTGGTGAAATTGCTAAAGAACTATGATTTACATGGTAAAGGAGGCATCCTAATGGAGGATTTGGAGGAAAGCTTGCCGAACTTGCAGAAAATATTGAAGGTACAGTAAAGCAGTGTTATGGTGAATGAATTAAGACACATTTCGAAGCATTTAATCACAAACAAATACATCCGATAAAAATAAGAGGATGCAGATTAATTAGTTAGATAATTTATATCAACAACAGTAGTTGGACAGTGATTAGAAATAAGAAATAAACATAAATAATACAACTTTCATACAACTCCATCATGGTGCTAGGAGTAATTGAACTAAGTGCCTGACTTTCTTCCTTTGCTATCTTCCAATTCGCTTCCACAGTGTATGCCCTCGCACCGCACAGATCACTGAGCCATCTGTATAAATAATGACGTTACCTAGCTGAGTGTACTCCTGGATTAGGGCCCTTATTTTAGCATCAGCTGCTGTTTAACTCCTTCAGGAAGAGATCTTTGGAAAGGACCCTTATGTTCACTCCATATTTATAGTACTTCTCAATGTCTGCTATATTTCTGCTTGGCCACACATTTGGCTCTGTTACAGAGGTATCTGTATAACTTTGCTCTCTGTGGCACCTGTCTGTTGTAGTCTTGTTATATGGGCAGATCATTTGATCTGTTGTCTACCAATTAAACTATATTTGAGTATTGGTTCTGTGCCAACTCTTGTCTTCATATCATTATTCCTAACTTAGTCTTTCTTTGTTACACCTAGTATGATGTGTAAGCATTTTATTTCTGTTGTGACCGTTTTTCTTCTGTCTTCTGAAGACTGTCCATGTTTGACACTGCTATCATAACATTGGTAAGAATATTGTGTTTAACAGTGCTATTTTAGTATTCATGTTCTTGTGCTCGCATTTCAATATTGGAGTCATTTTTTAATAACTTGATTGACATTATTGTTTTTGTCTTGTATATCTTTGCTCATTCTTCCAATTTCTGAAAAAAATGCTGTTTAGACATGTAAAGTGCTTTGTCTGCTTTAAATGATGTTGGTGGTTCTCCCTTGTCTGGAGAATGTCCTCATTTTGATTTTGTCTGTGTTGATCTTCAAATCTAAGTTTTTGCATGCAGAAAGGAGTCTAAATTCTTGTAGTTGTACTGCTGTTGGTGCTATGATTGCCTGGTCGTTGGCAAAATGTGATGAACAGTAGTAGGGATAAAGCACACTTCTATCTCATGCCAGATGTAATGTGGATCTTCTCTGACACTCCTGTGTTGTTTTTTTTAAAACCGGGCACTGACTGTCTACCTTTAAACTCTTGCAGTTTAATAATGATCTTGTAGTACATTCCTTAATGTTATCCTATTAATTTGTTGGATCCATTCTCTGAAATACCTGCCTTGAATGATTATTTTCTCAGTGTGCACTTGCATTCTTTCTGGTGTGTCTGTCCATTTAATGTCGAGCTTGACTAGCTTTATTAGGCACATTTGGCTAATGATGTCTACTGCTTGCGCCATTCAGAACGTTAAGTCCTTACCTTTCTTCACCCATAGGCAGCTATGCAGAGGGTGTTTTAATGTCAACAGAAACACCCAGATGTGTCCTTGTCTGTGCCATCTTATGTCTAGTAACCTTGTCTGGCAAGTCGAGGATATATTATATTTATTACTACACATACAAAGTAACTAACAAATGTAAATTAGAATTCCTAGCCTGGACAATGCAAAGTGACTGCTTTGTCATATGATCTTTATATCCCTCCCTTTTTTTTCTTGTAGTCTATGCCATTTGATGTTGGTCATCATATATGGCCACTGCCTCATGTCGTTTTTGATACAGATGTCCTTCCCTGCCAGACTGCCCAACATCTTAGTCTCCCAATGTCTACATCCACTTTATATCCTAGTCCAGACAAAAATCTTCTGGCAGATGCCTGCTATTGTGATAATTATCAAATGCTTTGTCAGTTGACATGGGAGATCATGTTTTGTCACATTTTGCATCCCAGAGCAGCATGTAGCAGTTCATGTACCTACACACTTCCATGCCATAATAAAGACTCAAGAATCTTCTGTCCTGTTTTTTTTTCTATCAGTCTTTCCAGTTGTCACAATATGCTTCAGTTTTTATTGTCTCATTGTATGGCCTAAAGAAATAACAACTGCCTCTTTTTTTAACAATGATAATTTGTCTTCAGGTCTTAGCCTCAGAGTAGGCTATATTCTGTTTTACTACTGAAACATTATGCCATGGCCTAGAATATGTGAAGGCCAACCACTTCCCACTCCAACAGTGTTATCTTCATTACATTGCATTTGTTTTTGTTTTTGTTTCACAACATTTCACACAATATTCATCCAGGTTATGAGTTATCTTGTGTTTAGAGACAGTGATAAGTGTCTGTTGTTTGTGGACATGTATTTATTTGATCTAGGCTTTTTTCTCCAAAGAATGTTGCAGATTATGTGGTCACTGTACAAAGACCTCAGGACAAAAAGCTGGTGTTGTTCTATAATGACAGATGTTGTAGATTTAGTGTTGACGAGTGTAAGTATGTTGTTACAGTGTCATGATCAGTGTAAGTATGTTGTTACAGTGTCATGTACATATGAAGAGTGTCATGATGAGCCTGCGTACATAGTTAGAGTGTCTTGATGAGTGTACTTACATGGTCAGTGTCTTTAATAGTGTACACATGGGGAAAATTTCATGATGAGTATACATGCATGGTCAGTGTCTCTTTAATAGTGTACACATGGGGAGAATTTCATGGCGAATAGTCATAAACAGAGTGTCTTGATGAGTGTACGTACATGGTCAGTGTCTTGGTTACTATATAAGTGAGGAGAATGTCAAGATGAGTGTAGGCACATTTTCATAATGTCTTGCTAAGTGTAAGTACATGGTAGGAGTGTCTTTAATAGTGTAAAAATGGTCAGAATGTCTTGTTAAGTGTACGTACGTGGTCAGAGTTTCTTCAACAGTGTACACATGGGGAGAATGTCATAAGTGTACATACTTGGCCACAATAACATGACATTCTTATCATGAGTTATTTTGATATTCCTAAATAGGCTGCATACATTCAGATTCAGTCAGTAATTTTCAGACGGCCATTGCTAAAATCAAATTATTTGATGTCAGTCTATGCTAATAACTGCTCGAGTAATTTATATTGGTAATATAATAATTAACTTCTATGGTTTATATTTGTATCTTGATCATTTTTTTATGTCAAGTTTTCTTCGCTTCTTCACTGTGCTTTATTAGGTAACAGTGAAAATGGGGAGCCACCATTGTGTAGTGGCTAGACATTCACCTGCAAGCTTAAAGGTCTGGGTCAAATTTATATTGCAGCAGAATTTTTCAAAACTGTTCTTGCCTACCAGTTCAACCCTCTGCTTAAAATTGGTGCCAGGTCATTTCTGAGAAGAAAAGTCGTGTAAATAGGACCCATTACTTTTTTAAAACATAAAATTTCCAGAGACTTGACAGATGAAAAAGACATTAAAAAATCAAATATCTTGATCAGTTTTATCCAACAGAAATGCAACTGAGCTAAAATATTGCACTAATATTAGGCAGTCGAAATATAACATCAAAGCATAGCATTATTTAAATTCAAGACAATAATTGGAAGTCAATGAATACTGTATGATTGATGGAAGAGAGAAGCTTCTTTCACCTGCAAGAGTCCAACAGTTTACAAAGTAAATCTCAAGTGTTCTGCTCTGTTTGGATGGGAAACTTTGATTGTTGTTTTGAATGAATGTTTTTGTTTGACGAGCTGCAAGTTATATTTTAAATTGCTTCTGTACTTAACTTGATAGTTCTAGTCACCCCATATGCTAATAACTGAATGTTCTTCGTTTTTAAAATAAATAAATGTAAGTAGCAAAGCATAAATATTGAGTTGATCATAATTTCAGTAACTGAACATCAGGAAGAATCCTCTTTAATTTGTTCTCACAGATTTCCAAAACATGTGGAAAAGTGTAGCAGTGGATGTCCTTGATGAGCATAAGATAGAGGAATATCTGAACAAACAAGGCATTACATCAATGGAAGCATCTGGATACAAGCGAATTGTAAGTTTGCTGATGAGTAGTCAAAGAGTTTGACACATATGTTAATAAGACACTTAAGGGAAGCAAAACTAATTTATTTCACATGCAATTTTATTAGCAACTCCAACCATTTTCTTTGAATCCATCCTGTCTCTATCTCCTTAACACTTTGCTGATTAGCGTCAGTGACCATAGAATTTCTGGTCATATCCCTTGGTGACCAGATTTGACGATCGGCGAATTCGTGATATGTAGACTGCAGAAAGCTGGCCATACCAATAGTTTTCTAAATTGAACTTCATCGGAGTGTTTTTATTATTCCAGAATGGCTGCACCTATGACTGGTAACACTTTGATCCAGTGAAAAGCCACATTTCGCTCAGATTTACGGTATCTATCATGGAATTAAGGGCCGAAGGTTGCAATATCCATAGTAACGAGCCAAAGGGTTTAAACTCATGGTTTCTGGATACTTTAAAAAAAATTTTTAGCTTTTATTGTTAGAATATTTGTTCGGCCGTTAAATATGTGCTCATGTTTAGCTTATTTTATTCATTGTCAAACATGTCCACAAGATTTTATTGCAAAGATATTGAACAAATTCACTAAAAACAGGAAAAAGATTATAGTTTTAAAACATTGCCTGCAATTTCTACAAATAACCACACACATTTTAGATGGCCACCATGATTATTTGGAATATTTGCATAATATATCTTTTTTCATTTGTAGCAACCACTCATAATTGTGCTGTGAAGGTTCCAAAACCCAGCGTGCATTTTTAATTTTTTATGAAGTTTATTATAAAATCAGTCCCAAAAAAATCTCCAGACGCCCTTGGGAATGGGAGACAGTAATGCAGTGGGTTGCTGGTCAGCAAAGTGTGTTAAGCAAGCTTTAAGAACATACCCACATGTAACATCTTGATATCTTACAAACATTTCTTTTCTAACATCTGCATACTAGTATTATTATTTATTTACTTTTGTTTAAACATTTTGCTTTTTGGTACCCACTGGCTGATTATGACATATACCCTTTTACACTTTCTTAGTCCAAGATTATAACCCTTTCTCATGTTTACCCTTTTTGAGTAAATGGAGTAGGTTTTAGAGTAGCCCAAAGCAGAATTTCACAGTAAAGAATATTCTGTACAACACATAGTGTCAACTGAGGTGACTTCTTCAGAACTTATGTAAAGCCATTTGTGATGTACAGAAGTGAACTATGAACAGTCAGCAGGTTCATGTAAAGTGATGTGGGACCTGCAGAGATGTGGTTTTGTAGGATGATCAGAGAGCAGATCAAATGTGCTCTTCTGTCTTGAAAGAAATTAACTCACAAAGAGAACTGGTTGCTTCACCAGAGGAACATCCACTCTTTGAACTTGTCATCAGAAGAGGAAATCTACATGACACCTCATGGCATGAACAAGAATCTCCATCAACATTTTGTTTGGTCCTACTCTTTTTAAAACAGATAGCTCATGTTAACATGTACCATAAAATTGTACATTTTCCTGGGCAGAAATGAATCCTTTTTTCATCATATATTTGTTTCTTTCAGTCATCCTTGCCAAAAAGAAAGAAAGGCAAACAGAAACCAAGGACATTCAAGAAACACAATGATCACCTCGATGGAGTCCTACAAGATTACACTGAAAACCCTCCAGTCAAATAAATTTTGTAAACTGTTTCTTGTGGCAAGGTCTTTTGTTCAAGTTTGATTGTGCAACTAATGTTGTTTAAAATTGGCTTTTGTGCAGTGATCGGTGCTGTTGTAGAAATTATCAGCATATATTTATTTCACTTATGAATTTGTTAAGTGGACACAAGTAGGTCACAGTTGTGAATGAGTTTACAAAACTTGCTTTCCTATTGTCAAATATTATGTCTCATCAAATATAAAGCTTATAGTGATGAAAGCCGCTGCATTTTCACAATAGAAGATGACCTCAGTGGACTGAGACAGATGTAGTCATTTACTGTCTATAAATTGATGAGCCAGTCTTGACCTGTGGTGAGTATGTGTATTATGTGGCAGTTAAAAGGCACAGTGGTCCAGCCTACAATATTTGATCTCAAAGAACCAAAATTTAGTGTCAAGATAAAGACTGAGAGTCAGTGGTGAGACTTGATAGTGTTGGTAAGTAAATCAGTAAAGTCACACACATTCACGAAGCACTCCCTATTACTTGGAGATCAAACAAATCATGATGGGTGACAGGTGCATTGTTTGAGGACTGGGTGAAGGACACTGACTGAGAGATGAAAAAAAGAAGAAACTGACAGTAGACAACTGTCCTGGCATGAGTGGATCCTCTTGCCTATGTTATATTGATGTTTCTGCTACCAGACACAATGTCAAAACCCCAACTTGATAAACCAAGGCATCATCAAAACATTTAAAATCTACTACCAGCTTTCTTGCAGTGGGTCATTACTTAAAGATATCTGACGCCTGTCTGCGAAGGCAACCATCTGCTACCACACTTAATGCTCTGGATGGTGTCCTCTTGACAGTTCTGATTGGAATAGTTCCACTGGTAAAAACATAGAAGTTTTTCAGGAAATCTAGGTTTGTTACAACTCAAGAGCATGATGGCATAATTTGAAGGAGTAGATTTTTACGTTTTTGTTGCAATGGATGATGACCCCCTTGCACTACAGTCCTAAAAAGTGATAGATACAGGCAATAGAGTTTTATAATGTTCCTCCTTAAATGTTGGTTATATTATCAGCTTCTTCAACTGTCTGGTGCACTTACATTAGGCATATTACACCCGAGAAGGCCCAGATAACTGCAGCAATTCTCCTTGAGGCACCTCAGTATTAATTATTATGAACCAGACCCAGAAGGAACTTTCCCAGCGATATTGAGCAAAGTACAGACCAGCATAACAGTGCTTGAGGCAGCTAGTGAAGTTAAAGAAGCAAGTGACAGTGATGCAGACATTGCAGAAACTCCAGAAGAAGCTATCAGGCATCTAATAATACAGCTGAAATCATTTGCTATGGAAGAATGTCCAGATATGCTGAGTGGTGTAGCTAGTATCAAGAGAGCTTATCCATTTACATTTTTAATAAAAACGACACAGACCAGGACTGACGCCTTTTCTTTAAAGAAAGAATAATGAAACCATGATAAAGGACGTGTTAATGATGCTGATTTTGTATGATTTCATGTATACTGCAGTAAAGTATAGAATCAGTACAATAGGACTTATGAGATATGTTCACCACTTGTGTAAGTCTGCTACAGTCCCTTGAGTGATCACTTGATAGAGGTTCTACTGTTGGTGTACATAAATGTATACAGCTAAAGGGAAAATATACAACCAACTTTAACTTCATTTAAATATTAGATGAAGACGACATGGAAACAGTGGATTGCAGGAGTACTTCAGATATTACACCAATTACAGATTTTGAATTAAAGTTTTTAAACAATTCATGTTACTGCCAATATGTGAATCCTGTTGACTAATGATCATTTTGAGGTCCAAGACTGTATTCCAGTCATTGTGGCAACTCATTTTATAAACACTGGGGAACAAGATGAAATGAATTCTCATCCCCAAAGAATGAAAATGTAATATTATGATTTGTAATGAATTTGAAGTTTATTGGAAGAACAAACTGGACCAAAAATGTACTACAGTTAATATTTCCTTATTATATGATAAATTGTCCAGCTTTCAGTTTTCCTCTGGGCCATGCAGAGATGCTGAACCAGACGTGGTAGTAACAGGACCAGGGGTGTCCATGGTCACAGGTTCCCACCTGGTAGCATGACCAGCATAGATAGAATAGATGTTTCCTTCAAAGTCAGTACATCTGTGTGAGGCTAGGAACAGTCTACACACAGTTAAGCCAGGTCTGTCAAACAAGTGCGCATGCACACCTCTCAAGTATTACATTCCAAGGTTATTAAAAAAATTTTGGTTAAACAAATCCACACCTTAATAGAGCTGAGCACTGTTTGAGATGCAAAGAGAAGGTTTATATTTAAGCCACTCTACAATTTCTTTAAGCAAAAAAAGGACTTTGGCTATTCTGAAATTAAAGCAATGTTTCCCCGTTGTGAATTTGAATAAAGAAGACAAACAATATTGCACAATTTAGTGACTGGCATATTTCGCTGTATCTCGTCAGGTGCATACTACATTAAATTTATTAACATGAAGCAAGTAAATGAATCCTGTCAGCCGGATTAATCCAGGTTTATGCAGACAGAAAGACATGCTTTTCACCTTGCGGTTACCTTGGTGAAACAGACAGTTTATGAATGTAGTTGATTTCGTGTTTCCGTTCGAAGGATTCATTTACTTGCATCATGTTAATCAATTGTTACTGTAGTATGCACCTGACGCGATACCGCAAAATATGCCAGGCAATAAATTGTGCAATCTATTGTTTTTGTCTTCTTTGTTTATATTCTATAATTGTTCAAAAGATTAACTTATAGCTATGGACAAAATGCAACTGTGAATCCTAGAACTTTGTGGGTCTCTAGTCTGGGCATGCAAGTTGGTCTAGGCTTGAGAATATGCATGTCAGTAGGGACACATCAACCCAGTTAGGAAGTCTGAAAATGTGTCCAAGTTTTTATCAGTTAAATGCAGTTCATGTTCAGGACGTTGCAAACCACCTCCACCATTTGACTTGTGTGTGATTCTGTAAGAGTAATATGCAGACAAGGAGAAATGAACAAACATCTTTGCCTGACCAGATGCCAGTGCTGGATTTAGGCATAAACTAACAAAGCTGCATGCATCTTAGGGCCTCACAGTCTACAGGGGCCTCAACACATTCCTATTTTTGTTCATAAATACAATTTTCTGTTAATAGAGCCTTTAAGAGGATTATATAAATATTTCTTTTACTAAACATTAAACATAAATATATTAACATCATCCATATATTTGAACCTTTTCTGGGATAAGCTAGTGTAATTTAAAACAGTAGGGGTGGGCGCTACCACCACGAAGAAGGGGTGGGGGGATCCTAGAAAGGTCCAAAGAATAAAAAATAAAGCAGTGGGGGGGGGGGGGGGGATAGTGTTATTTTGTTATGGAATCCAAAGAGTCGGTCAGTTAAGGCCAGGGATAGTTCATGCTCTCCAAACAACGAATAAGCTTTACTATGGAGATTACGTATTGCCCATGCAGTATGATTCCTCACTCTGTCTGCCTTGTTTTATCTAAAAGAAAGGTAACATTAATATGTTTGGAACAGAACATGCTGCAGAAACTCAGTTGAAAAGAGCAGTGCACCATCTATCTGCCAGTTAGAGCTTCCCTCCCACCAGCTGCTAGTGAGGGATAAGGGCCTGATCAGCAATGCTAGAACATTGTTTTCAGTTGTCACTTCCTCGTCCTAGAATAAGTGAGGGTAGTCTCCTCTCTTATCCTCTGTCACAATGTCGGGCTTTGGCTATGCCACTCAACATTCAGTGTTAACAGAGAACAAGTAATAGTGGCAACTATTATATGGTAGCTCAGTCATATCTGACTGAAATGTATAAAACTAAAACAAACTTCTGAGTAACAGTTTATTTTCTCTCCTCCAGTTTTATGAAAAATCAGCCAATATCTTAAATGAACACAAATTTTGAAAAATAATAAACACCAGTCTCCCCAGGAAGACAAACACGGAAAAAGGAAATTCTATCAAAAGCCATACAAGGACTTGCAGTAAGGAAAACTATTACTAGATGGAACATACCTGGAAGCAGGTACAAAAATATTAAGGCAAGTATACAATGGAGTAGTAGTTATGAAATAAGCCTCAATCTCAAGGGTTGAAGCACCGCAAATGAACTTTGGAAGACTGAGGTTAGTAAGAAGCCGCCCCCCCCCCCCCCCCCACAAAATTAAGAACATTCTTCTCCTGGAATGTATAGAACAAAACCCACTAGTTTATAAAGCTCAAAAGAGCTTCCAAACTGAAGGAAGAAAAAAAAAACACCTAAGAAGTATAAATCATCGTACAAATGGTGTAGCTGAAGCCTGCAAAAATATTAACAAATAAAGCTACCTGAGTAGCCCAAGACAAATTCAGAAAACTACAACACTGGGCTACAACCTTGTGTCAGTGAGAGGGGAAAAACCCACCACACAAGAGAAACTGACACAAGATGCACATAAAAAAGCCCGACATAATCAAATGTGAAGCTGTCGCATCAGAACTATGAATTAGCTTTCCAAGACAGTTCATGAAGCACCAGAAATTATCTACAAATTGTTTTTTAAAAACCTGAGTTACAACAATGAGCTCTTTCAATTTATATACTCATGAAATGCTTGTACATGGACAATTTTGCTAAAGAAGACACACACACACAAGAAAGATGATGAATCTTCATTACACACCCTAATGGCAACAAAAAGACATGCTCAGGAGCAGCATGGTAAGCCACTATCAACTTGACAGCAGATGTAGCAACCCTCCTTTACTCTCTGCAGACTCAATAGTCCTTTTACAAAAAGCTGTCAAATTCACCACTCCAGTCCATCTCATGTTTCATACTGGACAGAGTTATCCTTGAAAAAAACAACAACTGCAGATCACAAGAACAGAACTAGTCCAGCGGTGAATTCCAGGCCATTCTGGGATCCATAGAAATGGTTCATCTTGGTAAAGATTCAACATCAGAGCATTAGGGACAAGCCCAAACTCCCATCTTGTTCCTTAACAGCCAGCAAAGAGTTCCCATACTAATGGTTCCTGTTGTCATCTACTTGTTTTGCCTTTCCCTGGAAAAGCAGGTGAGCTCATGCAAGGCTAAGAGAACCTCATGTAGCCATGTCCATCTCACAGCTTCAAATGCTTCAGTATTCATAAAACATTGTGAAGTTGAAATTAGGAGCAGACCACAAAGATTACAGACAAGTGCCATGTTGTGAAAAGTGGAAAGACAATTTAAAAAAAAAAATTTTAATTGCATCACTGTTTTGTTTGATTACAGAAGATATATTTCAAGGCAAGGAGTGCACATCAGAACTTGGTGATAACTGGCAAGACTGACAGAAATAAGGCATGAGAAAAGCAAACAGATAAATACCATGGTAGCTTGGTGGGGCAAGAGCACTGACCTGATCAGTGATTCTGCTGATTGTGTAAGAAGGTGAAGCATGACCACCTGAGCATATCAGCATGGCACATGATATTTTCAAGGAGAGGGGATATTGAGCAATTCTTTTTATTACTAAAAGAGGGCAGTGGGTAAAAAAAAATGTTTGGTCGCCTATGCTATACATGTCTAGGCTTTCTAGTCAATATGGTTGATAGGCTTGTTTACTGTTTATAGGCCATGATAATTGTTATGACTAACCATGTGCAGCTGCTGCTTTCATTGATGATGAACTGCATTTCTAGAACACAAGACTGTTTGTGTTGATGCTTTTGACAGCTGCTTTGTGTTGCATGACAGCCCACAACCCTCTCATCTTGCACCTGGCCACATCTTGTCACTTCTAGAAAATGAGGCACTTTCAAATATTGCACTTTCCTTTATAGGTAAAGAGCCCTTCTTTTGTACTTATAGGGCAAGATGTCAGGTTAAGTACTCAGTTCGACCCCAATTCTCTTGGGAATGACATACATTTAATTTCAGCCACATAGGTGGAAGATTAATTGATAGGTGGAAGATTCATTGATAGTGAAGCTAAATTCCATTGGCCTAACTACCGCTTTGGACGTGGATGAATCCCCTCCCACCTCCAGTTGGAGAGCCGCTCAGTTTTGAACTAATTCTTGGCTCATCTTCCAGAGCATTCAGACAGTTTTCACCCTTGTCTTGAAAATCTCTCAATACCCTCTTTGAAAATCTCTATTTCACCCAGGAAATTCAAATGAGCATGGGATGCGTGTTGACCTCTCTGGAGACCTAGCCAGAATCAGCACATATGTTGTAACAGCATCACCCAGTTGCAGCTCATGTCAGTGCCTATCAATACCTACTTTGATGCAGCACATCAGTACAAAGAGTCACCTGATTTCAGTCTTTGAAGTGAAGCAACATGAGGTGACAGTAAGTGTCACACTTAACCTATAGGAACCGATACCAAACAACTTCATCATGTGCCAATCTATAAAGTTTATGATCTAATCTTCAGACAGCACAACCACACTGTGGCCAGTGAATTAACAGTTCGAACATTAATATATTTCAAGGGAATCTATCCTTCAACGTGTGGAGAGGACCAAATCCATCTCAGATAAGTAATCTAGGTTAAGCAGGACTTGCAGCCACCCAGGACAATGAGTGTCACTGCTACTCTAATAACAGCATCGTTGCTGTGATGAGTTGTGAGGTAGTCTGAGCAACCCTACCCTTTTCAGGATAGTTCAGTTCTTAAAAATGTTATCTTGATGTGTCTTCTTTAGTTTGCTTTTCAAAGTCTATACATGAGTAAAGGTCCCTTTTTCACGCCTTTAGACATACAGGGCTAGACCTGAATTTTTAAAGACCAATCGGCACAAGATGAGTGATGTGAGCATCATGCCAGCCACCTTTACTTCCAGGGATTGCATCTGGTACCCACTCAAGGCTGAGTCGACCTGGGTGTCAAGGTCATTTTCAAAGAACAGTCGGGCTCCACCAGGAAGAGAATTTAACGACCTTCTGACCAGCACACGAGCGACTAGCCACTATTTTTTTATTTTCTTTTAGTTAAGTTGTTTCATGAGTGTAGTACTAGTTGATCAGATTCATTACCGTTACATTCTGACCATGATAGATTTGTTTTCTAGTCTGGGGCTTTCAAGTGGTGAGGAAGTCAGGCCAAATACCCAGGTATATTTATTTTCGTAGTGGGAATCATAATTTGAGTTGCTTTATCCATGAAGTGATGTTGGATGGTCATTGGAGCTATGGAGTACCTTCTAGACCAACAGGAGTCGCCATCTAACATTTAAGTCACTTCTGAGTGTCTTTGCTTATGAGTGGAAACCCTATGGAAGGCATGCGACATACGCGACATGTGACACTATGTATTTAATGTTTGGGACCCGCCATGGTGAATAGCTAGATGCTCACCAGTGGATTGGAAGGTCGTGGGTTCAGATCCTGACGGACGCAGACTTTTTCAAAAATAACCATGTATTCCAGGTTGACCTAACCTTAAATGGGTACCAGATAGTCCTGTGAAGTAAAGGAGGCTGGCATGATGCTGACCACCATAGCCACCTAGTGGCGATCAGTCTGTAAAACTAGTCTAACACTATATGCCTGAATGAGTGGAAAAGGGTCCTTTACCTATTTGATTACAGCTTTAACTGAGACTGCAGTCTCTCAATGTTTTAACTAAGGACAGCCAATGATATTCTGTGTGGTTGTCACTGACAAAGGAACGGAGCAACAATGAGGTGACCCATTTACTGTGAAGCTGAAACTGCCATGATCTGGTCTAGATGTGTCACCACATGTCAAGGATGACATTTTTAGACTTCCGTTTTAGACATCTAATCATTTATGGTCTAAATATGCTAAACACTGTCTAAACACACCAGTCTAGACAGGAAACTTGTGATCCAGAGTCTGAGTACATAAGGTGATCCTAGACAGACAACTTTTAATACCAACACATTACACAACACAAACATTATCTTGAGCACTTTTATTTCTTGAAAACAGACAGGGATTTTAAATGACAAGATTAAAATTGAAATTTGACATCAAACCCAAAAAAGGCTGCTCAAAGCTAAACTTTCTAGTTAAAATGCCCATTTAGTTAAAGGAATGCTTATTAGTACTTAATGTGGGGTTCTCTTGGAAATTGGTCTTCCTCTTACCTGCAGTTCACATTTGTTTTTGTGACATGTGATCATCAAAACAAATCTGTACATATTTACACCCTGTCATGTACAAAATTCTTCTAAAAATTATAATGGGAAGACTTCGTAAGAAAATGGAAGAAGAGATTAAACTGATTCAGGCTGGATTTAGACAAGGAAGAGGAACAAGAGATCACATCCTCAACATGTGTTTAACAATAGAGAAGTCCAGAGAGTTTAACGTAAACCTATTTTCATGTTTTGTGGATTATTCAAAGGCATTTGGCTGTGTACAACATCAGAAACTGTCAAATCATGAGGAATATGGGCTTTCCACCACATTTACTACACCTGATAACAATGCTCTATCTAGACCAACAAGCAGCGGTTAGAATAGATGGTGAGACATAAGACTGGTTTGACATCAAGGAAGGAGTCTGTCAGGGCTGTGTGCTGTCATGTCACCTTATTCATTTAACCTGTACACCAAAAAAAATTATAAGAAATGTCAGGGATGACATAACCAGAGAGCAATATGATGCCCTGAATATCGGAGGTCATGAAATACCAGAGATCCGAAATGCCGATGATACAGTAATGCTATCCACATCACAGACTGGAATAGAAAACTTAATAACCTCAACCCAAAGACATAGCAAAAACAAAGATAATGGAGGAAACGTTTGGAGGTTGTGGAAAATTTTGAATATCTTGGGTCACTGCTTACCAACAAGAATGACACAATGAAAGAAATTAAACGACAACTATCAAATGCTCATTATAGAGAAACAACTAAATAAATTATGAAGTGGGAGGGACAGAACTGCACAAATTAGATTTCCCAGACATGCTCTTTCCCACTGCAACATACGTCTGTTGAGATCTGGACAATAACAAGGTAAACAGCACATAAATGCTTTTGAATACAAATGTTATAGATGGGTTCTAACAAAACAACAAATGCATTCATACTTCAAGAACTAAATACTGAAGAAGGTTGGCTATTTAACACAATAACACATAAAACTGAAATATTTTGGTCACTTGAAACGTCACAAAAGTTGATAGAAAATACTGGAAGGGTATGTGCTGGGAAAAGGAAGGCCAAAGAGAACATGGGTGCAGGATGATCTCCAGATGGGTTATCAGATGCGGAATGACTTGCTTGTGATCGAGAAGTTGTCTGGAAGGTTATTGTGGGAGCAAGGTTCTGCAAAAGAGTGGCTACTTCTGACTGACTGACATGTACAACCAACCTATAAGCAGTTCCATGTAAAGAACCCATGTGTACTACTTGCCAAGAGATGTCTGCCATCTCAGCCCAGAATTTTATACATGCTGCCTGTGCCTTTCCTGGAAGTCTATCATGAATGTGACTAACCGCCTGGTTTCCTCCACTGTCACAGCGTTGTACAGCGAAACTCTAATCCCACCCACTGACCTGCAATACAAGCATACACACTATAAAAATGGTGATAAGTAGTTGCACAAAACAAAAAATACATTTTCAACTTATAGGAGTGACTGCAGTCTTGCTGATGTCAAAAACCGAATAACACAAACTAAGACTAGAAAAGGTCAACATTAAATCAAGAAAAGTCCTGGTTTAAACAAAAATATATATTTCAACTTGACCATTATTTTTTTGTTGACTTATAACAGTTCTTCCTAGCTCGTTTTTTTTTTTTGCACTTCTTTCTGTTCCTTTCTGCCTCGATGAGGGCTGTGGTTTAGGATCCAACTCTTAATTTCTGTATAAAGGCTTCTGTGGAAATATTCAGCTTTACCTGTGCACATCTTCCCTACCTCTGCCCATCTTTGTCTGTCTATTCCTTCCATATCTGCCTGTCACTGTCTTTCATTCTGCTTTTCTATTAACTATGTCTACACCCTGTGGCGGTTCCTTTAAATGACCTAGATAATGTACTGAGACTTTTTTCTGGATACTATTATATGTAACAAGTCCTCTTGCAGTCACATCTAACGTCTAAGAATTAACAAATTAATTTGACTCGCAATTTAACAACAGTTTATTGTCATGGCAGCCTTCAGGGATATGGTCATATGCTAAACAACAGTGTGGCTGTTCACAGGTCGTAGGAGAAACAAATCAAAACAGGAACATTGTTAAGAATCTTAGCATCATGGCGGCAAGGAACCAGGAAAGAGCTGGCTTTCTGTCTGATGCTTCCTGATGAAAAGAGTACATATAGGGCACAAATATGTTTAGTGATGTATAATTGTGACAGATGTTTTATTTGTTATAATTAGAAACCCACAGTATGCGCTTTAGCAAAGGTATTTCTTTTCAAGTAGAATTTGTATCACATGAAATGGTCTCACTTGCAGATGGACACAATTTTGAGGTCAACTTCCACAAATAGGCAACAAAAGGCTAAAAATGTTTTTTTTTGTAATAGATCCCACATACCTGTGACCCTTCAGTTGAAGAAAGCCTTTCTCAGTTGACTCTTTCGCAAATTCTTTCTCCAGAGCTTCATCTCCAGCTTCAGAGCCAATTCTGATAGGAATATTCATTCTGCTGCGGCAATCTCTATCCAATGGACAACTGAAAGGAAATTATTGTAACAGTGAGATCCTGAAATTAATTTGGGTAAAATGTAAACATATATCAAACACTTTTATTACCTGGTAGCAAACAACAGGAAAAATTACTTGTAGATCTAAGAGATAAAGAATAAAATAGGACAGGCCAAAACTGCATTTTACAAAATGAACATTTTATGCAATAAATCCATGTCATTGGAAGTTGGCAAAATAATTATCGCATGCTATATAGAGCCAGTTTTACCATACGGCTGTGAAGCCTGGACAATTAATAAACAAGCCAAACAATATCTTCAGGCAGCGGAAATGTGGTTTTACAGAAGAATCCTTAAAATTCCTTGGACAGCTAAGAAGAGCAACCTAAATGTTTTGAGAGATGTGAATGCTCAAAGACAACTTATCACAAACATCAGAAAGAGACAGTCATAATTTTTTTGTCATGTTATGAGAAGAGGAAAAATAGAACATGTCACCACTGGAAACATATGTCGAAAAAGACAAGAGTTAAAAAATTCTTGAGTCTTTTGTCATGGAACAGAGGGATGAAAATATATGAACTGATACACGCAGTCCAGAAGAAGATGAACAACCAGAACTTTCCACAAAGTTTAAGCCAGTAGTTAGTGGTCTCAAATTTGGTTGAGGGGGGGGGGGGCTGGGGGGGGGGGGGGGGGTTAAAAAAAAAAGAGTGGGGGTGTCAAGCAATTATAAAACTAAGTTAAAACAAAAAGCCAAGGACATTTTTTTTTTTTCATAAGCAATTTTTACATCTAGTTTGAAATCTAAACATGATAACACAAGCATTATTGACTAGGAACACATTCTGATCAAAACTATCTCCATACCATCAGTTTCCCTTATTATGGAATCTATTTTCTTATTTTCAATCACATTTTGTTATGGTGGTGACCTTTTAATGTATTAAGGGGTTTCTGGTGGTGGTGATTTGGGGGAGGGGGTGGGGGGAGGGGGGGGGGGGGGGGGGGGGGGGGGGGGGAACCTGAAAAGGGTTGTAGACCCTGTTTCAAGTGATCCCATCAAGTCTTTTACTTCACTTACTTGTAGAATCCCTCAGAGTTGTCTATCAAATCATAAATTAGTCCAGACTTTTGAACTGCATTCTGTTCCATTTTATCCACACCACCTTGTTCCTGAATCCAGTTGAATACAAGTCCCATAATGTAAATACTGTAGACAAAAAATAAGATCATGGTCACAAGAAGGTGTCCCCAGTTACATGTAATAAATAATATTTATGTATAAACTAAAACCCCTGGCCAATCAAACTGTTTCATACGGCCATAAAACGTGTCATAAATCATGAATATCATGCAAAAAAAGAAATCTTGCCACAACAAGCCTACCTCGACATAGTATATACATAAAAATTGCTTGTAAATCAATGTTTTTCCCAAACGTGTGTGTGCCTGTGTTGTGTGTGCAGGCATGCAAGCAAATCACTAACGTCAAGTGCCTTGCTGACAGGTAAAGGTGATGCTGCTTCACAACCTGTGATCTCTAATAGCATTATCATTGTGTTGACATCTTGCCAAGACAAAAGTCTGTCAAGAATCTTCTGTCTTTGTCCATCTTTTTTCCCCCCATAAAACTTCAGTTGTCACAAGTCCTAGTTTTTCTCTTTTTACAATATGACTAAAAGTTATGCCTGTCACCTCAGTGGAGTTTGTGATAAGCTGCCTTAGCCTCTTTCAAAACTAACTGTCTATGAAAGAAGTCAGTTATGTTAAAACTGAAAGATTCTATAAAACAATAGAATAAATCCAAGTGAAATGCGAATAGTTTCTATCGACACATTGTGTGTGTTATTTGGCCGCCGGAAGCTCACCGTAGTCACGTGACTTACCAGGGAAACTTCAAATTTACAATAAATTCCACCTGCTTACAAAGAAGGTTGTTGATTTTAATTGTAAACTGACTTAATCGAGGTGATGACGTCTGCAGGACCAACTGAAAAGAGCAGTTGGCAAAACATTTTTGCCAGTAGTGAGGTACAAAACCACTCCTGTCACAATTCAACCTATTAAACAGCTCGTTTCTACGTACACCAAATCCAATTGTATTTAAAAATTTACATGTAAGTGCCAGTTGACTTACATCGGTCAAACGGAGAGACAACTTGGAAATAGAGTGGCAGAGCACATATCTAAATGGCTACATACACAGCGCAGTGATTCTTCAAGGGTGTCTAGACCAGTCAAGAGGAAAGAACCCACTTCTTCAATCATCTACTTAATTCCGGACATGTGAGTGACACAGACAGTGCTTTCCGTGTGGTTTACCACACTCTGAACAGGAGACTTGAGAATCACAGAAGCCTTATTGTAAATTTGAAGTTACCCTGACAAGTCACGTGACTACGGTGAGCTTCCGGCGGTCAAATAACACACCCGATGTGTCGGTAGAAACTATTCGCATTTCAATAGGAATTCTGTTTTTTTTTTAAATAATAAACTGCAAGAAATTTGGAAAAGATATTTTATAAAATGTAGTTTTTGCTTGCCTAATTCTTTCTTTATCTCATCCATGTTATTTCTATGCAAATGTTATCATAAATCAAGTCCTTTAAAGAACGTCACTCTCTTTCTGGCACAACTAAAGTCTCTCCTCCTCTAGCCCTATGTGCTTTCATAGCCAATGCATCTTTCATGTCTGTTCACATATTCGTGGAAGTCAGTTTTTGCCTTATTTCCCAGAAACTGCACCCTCTATAACGTTCTCTCAAAACTACCATAACATTGAACATTGCCAAAATACTTTTGACTGTAGGAACAGGATGTTTAGGAACCACTTCTCCCCGATGTTCAGATCATGTAGGATGTCAATTTTCTTCTCCTTGGTCCACAGAATTCCAAGAATTTTTCTGTAGTATTTTAGATCAAAGGATCTGATTTGTTTCTTTCAAGACTGAGCAACTGTCCATGACTCACAATCATAAGCTGCCACACAAAAGATGCAGGATCTCAACATGTTTACTGTCACCAGCTTGCAGGTGCTATACCAAAGGTTGATTACACTGGAGCGCCCTATGGATATAGAAGTAACCTTTTTCCCTGTGTGGGTGCAGGTCCTTTAGGAATCTGCAAATTTAATAAAAGGGACCTAAGTAAACATGACATAAGTTACATATAAACCACTGAACATGTATTACCTGTAAGTGGGGGGTGTGTTGTAAAGTGAATTGTTCCCTGCCTGTATCTTGAAGTCAAAGATCACTGGACAGACTTTCATGGCAAATCCAATCAGATCTTCACGAATAATAACTGCAGTGACACCAGCACAACCAATGTTTTTCTGTGCTCCAGCAAATATCACACCAAACTGAAGAAAAAAAAGAGGGGAAGGGGCAGGTGGGCATAAAAATAAAATTCAAATACATCATAACCAGCGATTCTGAAGTAATAATAAATAAAGCTAAAACAATGCATATTATTTTTCAGCTACAGTAAAACAACATGTCAATGGCTCCACAAGGTTACCACTGCATTTGCCCTGTTTCAAATATATGTTTTAGTGATTTTTCTAAATATGGATTTCTGTCAATAAAAAAAAAAAATCTATCAACAGTCCAGTGGTCGCTACATTTCAATCTTCAGTAGGTTAAGGATGTTTGAAAAACACTGCCCTGGGTTTCTCACCTAAAGTGGACACAAGATGTGTCATGGAAATTAAAGGCAGCCAGCCAGCATTATACTGTACATGTCACCCACCATACCTCAATTGAGCTATACAACTGGGCTAGCATCATATGCTCAAATATTCCAGTTCCTCCTGAAATCTCAGGCTCTAACCGGAATTCTCAATGTGAGCAGGTCTTGCTAGTCACACTTGCCATCTTCATGAACTGTGATTCCCTCTATAACAGTTGTACTTAATACAAAGATGGTCTTGCACCCAGTGGTCTTTGGTTCAGATCTCTCTGACTAGGAGTTATGTTCCAATCACTTTGCTCTGAGATATTAACAAAGCCTTATAAAATGGTCACAAGAACATGCTCTGGCAAATAAGGTACAAGATGTAACAGCCATCTAGTGCCACTTGGTCACAATTGAATAAGCTTAGCACCATATTATGAGTGTCACAGAAATGCTCTTAACTTTTCTGCCCAGTTTGTGTGTTTGCGTTGGTTATAAATGTCTACCTTGGTGACATCTATGTGTCGAGAGAGAAAGTTGGATGACATATCACAAACAAGAGGAACACCATTGGTCTGGGGTACAAACTGGAACTCAACACCTGAAAAAGAAATAAAGGATGTTAATTAAATGTGTCATGAGAAACTAAATTTCTAATTATGAACTGAAACCTAAAGAGAATTCCTTATTGTTTAAATGAAAATGTTAAGAAGTAGTAAATCAAAGGCAGGCATCAATGCAGCCAAATGAAAAGCCTGTTATATATTTATCTATAGCATTAGCATCCAGCTAAGATGATGATTAAAACACAACAACAACAATGAAAGTAATATCCACTCATATTACATGATTGAAGATAACCTCAAAAAAATACTATGATTGTTATTCATGGCTTGAGTCTAATTTATAAACAGCCTTTATGAAAATAAGATACATTAATACTAATAAATACTTAGCATATATATACAATACTGTAAGAAATTTGTTAAACTGCCAGACAAAAACTGCTAAAAAAAAAAAAAAAACAGCTCACCATCAATGGTCTCATTTGCACAGTAATACACATATGATGCATCAGGGTTCAATTTCCATGTTGAGTGATCTTCTATTGCTGCAGAATTGAAATTAATGACAATCTTTTCAGATATAAATGAAGTAAATTTACTTTCATTAAACAGATTTTTGGTTAAAACATCTAAAACGAAATGATACATCACAGACTGTCAGGAATTCTATCAGATGCAGGTTAACAGGCAATGTACAAACATGTGGTGTACAAACATGTGGTGACTGAAAATGCAGCCAGCACTACTGGGTAGCTCTCCAAGGAGGGTAAAAGGTAGTAACCTGCTGTTAACCCGTGGTCGCACAGGCCAGGCCCACCTCCCTATGGTGTAGACTAGAAAATATATCCATGAGAATACAGGATAAGGGGGAATGGCCACCTGCCAGGGTTGAAACACTGGCCTAGAGGCACCATGTTGACTGACAGACATGTAAAACTTAGCTACCGCTGCTCAGAGCGCTAGCTATTAGTATATTAACATATGGCTGTGAGATGAGGACTTTATAGCAGCTGAACTCAACAATAAGATATAAGTACTAGAAATAAGATCTTTTCGAAAAATTCTTATCATATCATGCAGAGACCACATCGCAAATTTGATTTGATTTGATTCAAGAAACGACATCACAGCACTTGGGGCATTCCCATAAGGGCTCCGTTCCCATCTTCAGCAGCCAGCGAAGAGTTCCGATACTAATGGTGCCAGTAGCTTTCTGATTAAATGTCCATCTTGCCTTTCCTTTGAAGCCCCGAGCTTCCGCCAGAACCTCTCGTCACCCCCAACTGCATCAATCTCACCAGAATGGTGATCCATCTTCTCCTCCGAATTGTACACGCTCTCCTGCAAGGCACTAACCACATCTGCCCTATCATGTAGCAGTATTCCATCAAGTTGTGCAGAGCCAGCCAGTCTGTCCGCCTGTTCATTTCCCAACACATCGGCATTCCTTGGTGAAAAAATCCAGACATACTCCTCACTCGTGTCCTCCGCAACGAAGCATGCCTGTTCTGATCTTTCTCAGCATACTTTCTGAATCAGTTACAGTTACAATGTGTGTGTGTGTCGTGTTCTCTAGCCAGCGGAAAGCTGCAGTGACCGCTTCTACCTCCATTCTTAAACTGGATCTTGTGGTATTATATGCTAGGCTCTCCTGCCCCAAACTTCGACCATTAACTTTTGCTAAAAAGCCCCAAGCACTTCTTTTGCCTCTTGACACTGAACCGTCTGTGTAAATGATCAAATCCTCTGAGCGAGCATTACCTTAAATTAACTGCTGAATTTCCACCTCTGTGGCACCTGATGGCCAGTCTCTGCATTCCCGGCTCAGCGTGATTATGACTCTACAAGTCTGACTGCTCAGGTGGCACTTAAACTTTGACCCACTCCTCTCCTCGCCTAATGTTCTCAAGGATGCAAACCTGTCTGATTGTGTCTTCTGCCTGAGCCATCCATGACCTCCCTCTTATCAGCCGCTGACCCTTAACTGCACCCAGAGCTTCATGCAGAGGGTGGTCTGTGTCTGCAGCTACCCTGAAATATGACTTCGCCTGCATCACCTTGTGCCTAACTGCAACCGTCGGCAAACCAAGGATGTATTGCATACACACCACTGGGGTGTCTTTGGTGCAACCCAGAATGACCTGCATAGCCGCGTTCTTTATGCGCTCTAGTTTGTCCATCTGACTCTTTGAGACGGTAAGCAGTCCCTGGCCATAATCCACCACTGACAGGATCAGGTGCTGATATAGTTTAAAAAGCATTCTCTGCTCTATGTCAATTGCAGCCTTAGTCTTAAGTGCACTAAGTCCTTTTTGGCATCTCGTCACAACACTCTCCACATGGTCCTTAAATGACAGGCTCCTGTCAAATGTAATTCCCTGATACTTCAGTTTGCTCTCTCTATTGACATCTCTACCATCTATCGTGAGACTTGGGACATTAGTTTTAACAACTCTGTTGTCTAGAGAACATCACAAAACAGACGCTTGTAGCTCCCGAGCTGTTTGTTCCCTCTCTTCCCCCTGCCTATATGCAAGTATATCATCCGCAAAAGTCAGTATCCTTCCAACTCCTGGTGCTTCTAGGCTTGCAATCTTGCTCGTATACATGAAGAGCACAGGCGAGATGGCGGATCCCTGTGGCAGTCCTGGGGCCAAAGTGCATGGTTCAGAGGTCCATGAGCCCAGTCGGAGAGCAACCCGACGTGAATACAGGACAGCTGCAACCCAATTCACCAGCCATGGATAGACCTCCTTCTCCCTCAGTGTAGTCATTAAGATGTCGTATCTCACTCTGTTATAAGCATCCTCGAGATCCAGTCCTACCACCATAGTTTCCTGTCTGTTCTGGAACCCTTCATAAGACGGCAAAAGCAAAAGTGGCTGCATTTACCCAAGTGTCCTTTCCTGGCCTGTAACTTCCCAGACCTCTTGGGAGAAACTTCCCCCTTTCCAAAAATCCTTGTAACTTTACAGCAACTATCTTCAAGACCTTCCCAAACGTGTTTTGTAAGGTGATGATTCTAAAGCCACTAAGCTGAGAATGATCTTTAAAAAGTTTTGGTAGTGGTATTAGATAGCTGTGCACCCAGTCTTGCGGTACTGATGCTGTCTTAATACTCTGGTTAAAACAGTCGGCCATCTCTGCCAGGTCTACATCTGTCAAAGACTTCATGTGACCATACCTGACACCATCAGGCCCTGGTGCAGTATCTTTTGCTTTTTTCAAAATTTTTTTGATATCTTCCACTTGTATCATGTCTTCATAATGCATATTCTTCAAGGTGCCAGCTAACTCCTTTCTAACTGCATCCCTGATGTCTACATCATTATGATCTGTCTGAGCTACAAACCTATGGAGAAAAGCCTCCCCTTTCTCCTTGTCTGTTGTCACACGCACACCATCGTCTCTACAAATTGTTCCGACTGTCATAGGCCGATCTTTTCTTAGCATCTGCCTTTGCAGTTTCCAGAATTTTCCCAATGTTTTATCGCCTTCCATGTCATTCACAAAAGTTTCCCACTTTGCTCTTTTGGCCTCTGCAGCACAGCGTTTGAAAACCTCCACCTTATCTTTTTTTCACATTCTCCGCCATCTCCACTTCCTCTCGTGAGCTTGACGGTGTCTGTCGTACTTTCTTTAGCTGCTTCACTGCGGCTCTCTTTGCCTTCCATGCCTGTTCTACTTCTGGAGTCCACCATGGTGGCTTTAAAAAATTGGTTCTGGCAGTTCTTTTGCTTGCTCCCTGTCTGAGGCGTCCAAGTACGTTGTTGGTCCACTTATACTGGAACGTCTTGCGTGCTCTCCCAACCTTAACCTTACTGAGTTTAGAAATCAAAACTGAACATGGTAGGTGATCACTCCCATGGTTATTCAGTACAGTCCATTTAACATCTAAAACCGACGACTGAGAGACAAATGTCAAGTCAATGGCTGTGTCTGTATCTCCAGACCTCATTGCCATTCTAGTCGGCCTCCCATCATTGATGCAGACCATATCAGAATCAACCATGGCCTCTGCAAGAGCAATTCCCTGTCGGTTTTCTATACTGCTATCCCATTCTCTGTTCCTCGCGTTGAAATCCTTACATATGAGTAACCTATCACCTGGTAACTCCTCCAGTTCCTTGAGCCAGCTCCATTGCTCACTTCTGACAAAACAGTCTACCTTGGCATAAATATTTATGAGGTTCCAACTTAAGCCACCAATTTCCACCTGTATCCCTTGAACCTCTCGTCCACTGTGGTTCCACTGGCTCAAGTCAAGCACCACATGCTTCACTCCCTCCTTTACCACTAGACCTTGTCCATGTCTTTCCTGTCCAACAGGGTTTATATAACTGACGTACCCCGGGCAATATCTTTCTGTATTTAGCTCCTGGAGCATCATGACATCAAAATAAAAAATCAACCTCTCCAGTACAGGACCTCTCTGCCTAGCACTCCGACAGTTCCAGTATCCTACTCTTACATGATTAAAGCTTAATCTCTCCACTTTTCGCCTTGTCCTCTTAGCACCCGCCCTCCTATTTCTATGCCTTCTTCTCTACACATTTCCTCGTCATCCCCTTTTCACTCCCTCTTCACTAACTGCTGAATAATGTGCCAAGCGCAGAGCACGTGCCCTGTAGCTCCGGCGACAATTCTTACGTATATTTTTAAAATCCATACGAAAAAATAGAGTACTGCAGGAAATGACCGGTCGCCCTAGTATTGCTTGCCTGCTGGGAAGGGGCAATGGATGTCCCGTAGTCCATACGCCTGGTGCCGCCCCACACGCCCGCCAGACGTCCAACCTTCATGACCAGCTCACCCGTGGCCATCCAGTTCCTCAGCACATTGGCCCACCTTGAACTTGGGGGTTTAAATTCGGAGTTTGCCGTCTCCTAGATGGACTGCTGTGCAAAGCTAACAGGTTCCATCTACCCGGACTTCTTTCAGAAAGAAGGCAACATTTTGCTAAATCCCATGGACGTTAGGAAACTTTGTGCACTCTTAAACATCTGATGTACTGTGAAGCCCTTGTTGACAAGACTCTTCCTGAAGTTAAATACACAGTTAATTTATTAAAAGGCTTCACCTTTGAATAGACACCACCCCAGGAATCACTGATGACGCCGCAAGGATAGCTAAAAACTCCAGCTCGTCTGTTGTTTCTACCACAGCCAGTGTAACCAACGAAGAAACAAATAAAGAAACCTGATATCCTCAAGTATCCAGCAGTGGAACACATTGCCATCATGTGTTTGAAGTGGTAAGAGGTTTAATTTAAGCGATGAAAACCGATTGAATACGCAGTTTTTGCCTTGAAATAATCATGGTTGCTAGCGCCGCCATACCGGAAGTCCTCCATATGGTGACAATGACAATGTCTATCATAAAATAACACAGAACATTGGCTACTATAAACCTCTTTAAATCAGAGTGAAAATGCAATGGTAGGGACATGTAATAGGTTGTAACTGCCCCTCTAAAACAATACTACAGGGCTTAGTAAAGGGGAAGAGGAGAAAAGGCAGACCAAGAAAGACCTGGGTACAAACCTTAACTGACAGGCAAGCAACCATGAAATCCACATGGTTCTGACCGTCAAAGATGGAAGAAACTGATCTGACAACAGCAACTGGTGACCTAATGACATGCAGTGTTATGGGACGATAATAATGATGATGATGATCTCGTTCACTGGCTGTGAATTCTGGCGGAAGGTCCCGTTAGTTCGTCCATATGGACTTTACCTGGATCTGAGTTTTGTGTGTACATCTGTTTTACTGGCTTTTTTGTTTGGTGAGGATAATGATGATGAAATTAAACTGAATTCAACGGACAAGCCAAGTAATTTTTAACTTTTATAACTGACTCCAGTATCAACACCAGGAAGCTGTTACTTATAATTTCATGAGTTTCTGAGATCCAAAATGCGTAGGAACAAGTCAATCTCTGTCTTAAAAACATTGCTAACATACTTTTTTAAAATACTTCTCTACATACATGTATATTTCTTTTTCTTTGGTACAACATAGTTGACAGTCCCATATTTCTCAGCTTCTTGGGCAGCCTTGGCTGACCAGCTGCCAGTGACAATGTAATCAGCACTGTGACCTGCAGATTATAGGCGGACAAGTTTGTACATTTACTTGTGAGCCACATTCATTCAAATGTCATAACTGGCACCACTGACTAATAAAATCATATCCAAGAGACAACTACATTAATAACCATAAAAGGTAAACTATCCTTCTTCAACAAGGTGGACATAATGAAATTTTGTGAATTTTCGTTGTAAACTATCGGACATCAAATTTAACATAAAGAAAGCAGATAAACCTCAGATTATGGACAACATTGTAGAATGTGGTCTCAAAGTGTGGTTAGGTTGAAAAACTTTATATTTTACATAAGCTTGACATTTGCAGCCAATTTTTATCTGACATTTTACTAATTCTAACCTGTTATCAATATCTCCAAGATTTTTATGGACGTGTGGAGTATTGATTGTAGAATACTCATGTATCTTTTATAAAAAGTCTGGATGCTTTCATTCTGACATGGTTCAAGAGCTGCTTTTATGTGTGTGTTTGTGCGGGTTGTAATAAGACAGGATCTATTGTATCACAACTCTATATTATTTCTGACAGATCACAGAGTAACTCCTGGTTTGTGATATACAAATCAACATATTGTAATTCACCATAGTTACTCTTCTTCTTCACATGGCAATAGAACCTATCATTGTTTCCTCTCAAAAAGTAGACGCTCTGTCGAACCAGTCTCGCCACATGTAATTATTCTGCTGCAATATTAATTTGTTCCCACAGAACAGAATCTTCATTGTGTCTTCAAAAAGTAGACAACTGCCCAGGTGAACAGCAGCATCCATACTATTAACCTATTAATGTCTCTCATGTGCAGGGTAGAACCCAGTGAATGATCATTACCTCTTAAGACAACAGATAGGCCAGAGTAGAAACACTGTTAACTATCAGCATATGCCTTGTCATAGAAGTCATAAAAAATATGACACTAATTGAATCACAGCAGCAAAATGTGTTACAGCTTTGTTGTTTGTTGTTAAAACTATCAATATATTTTTCAATAATTCTTTACAATGCATATTCTGACCCACCTGATTTCAAAGCCAAGAGATTGAGAGGTATGGCTGAGAACTGACCACTGCCACCACCTTGAAGGAACAAGATCTTGTAGTTGTCTGGGACATTTCTGTATTATATAACATAATGAAGCAAAATCAGTTTAGGATAGGTAATATGCCAACAACTCTATTGTTGGGCACAAAAATATACACAATTCTCTCTTCTTCATCAACAATCTAAACTCAAGTGTTTGTGGGTCTGCCTGTATATTCTATTCCCAATCTTCTTGGTCTACCTTGTACTCCCAAATTAAATTCTTGAGTATGAAGTTTCTTTGGCTCTATTTTGTCTTTCTGTTTCCAGGCCCTAATCACTGCAGTCTACTAGCCCTCATGATGCCAATTACAAAATTTGTCAGAAAACCATTGTTCTCCACTGTCTGTAAAAGGCTTTGTGTTTTTTCTGAGTGATAAAAATGTCAAGTGCATATCTATCATTCAGGGGCCATCATCACAATAAAGGCTGGCTGAAGTGGATCTCTAAAACACTGACTCTTGTTGTACTCTCTGCTGTAAGTCATATCGCTGATATCAGCTTCCAGTTTGTAGCCAGAAGAATGCAAATATTGTGATCTGTCAGCATAAGAAGACATGGACGAATAAAAATGCCAACCTGCCAGCAAGTTAACCCATTAAATTTTGATAATAAAATATTGGGGCCCCCAGAAACGATAGAGAAAAGCAGTTAGCAATCTGCAAGCACCTGACCACAAGATTTCCATACCTTGATAATGCAAATGGTTGAAAAATAATAAATATTCGGGACATGGCAACTGTTCACATTTTACTGAAGAAAAATGTCTCACAATTGATTGACAATGAACCTGATGTGCTTACAACACAAATGTAAACTTGACAGAAACACTATGTAGGCTGGGCGTATTTCACAATAAGGATTAGAATATGAAATATCTTAAGCAGTACTACAAACTTACATTAACTCTCTAAGAGATTTCTCTGCATTATTCAAAATTTTGCTGAACTCTGAAGATCTGTGGCTCATTTCTATATAAAAGAGAAAGCAACATTAAAATTACAAGGCAAAACAGTAATAACACTAAAACATTGTTATGTCAGTATGGCTTGTAATAAACATATCCTGATGAATGCAAGCCATTCTACTAAACAACATTCTTAATTTCCTTCCTAAAATCTCTACATTACTATACTCATTCTTGAAGGCTCTTTTCTCATGAACTTTTTCAATAGTTTCTTGCTTCGTTGGTATTATCTCACTGAACCTAAAAATGTGTTTATTTATTATAGAAAGTGAATCCAAATTTTTGGGGAAAATAGCAAATGACAGCATAGACCAGTCGAGCACAACAAAATCCCTTGGGACGTTTTTATTTTTGTTTATATTTGTTTCTATTTATTTAAATTATGTAATGTTATCACAATTGACTTTACTACACTACACACTGGGCATTCTTAATAATTGTGTGTGACAAAATACACATCAAAGAAGAAAAAACATACTGCCCCCCCCCCCCCCCCCCCTAAATACATAGCTAACCAATGTGTTTCATATTCTCTTTATGTTTGTATCCAATTTTCTCCATTTTAACAATGTTCCACAATTTTAATGTTCCATGTTTGCTATTTTTATTTTTTTTATTTTTTTACAACAGTCATAGTTTTTAATCCCGTTTTTTTTTTTTTTTAAGTCATTCAACTAATGTACATTGTCTATGAATAGTCAGAATTGTGTAGGGTCATAATCACACTGAGCCGGTAATGCAGAGCCTGGCCAGCAGGTGCCACGGAGATGGAAATTCAGCAATTAATTCAAGATAATGCTCGCTTAGAGGATTTGATCATTTACACAGACGGTTCAGTGTCAAGAGGCAAAAGAAGTGCTTGGGGTTTCTTAGCAAAAGTTAATGGTCGAAGTTTGGTGCAGGAGAGCCTAGCGTATGATACCACAACATCCAGCTTAAGAATGGAGGCGGAGGTCACTGCAGCTTTCCGCTGGTTACAGAACACAATACACACATCGTGATTGTAACTGACTCAGAAAGCATGCTGAAGAAGATCAGGACAGTCATGCTTCATGTAGGGTGGCATACTTCATGCTGCGGAGGACACGGGTGAGGAGTGTTGTCTTTTTTTACCGGGGAGTGCCGGTGTGTCAGGAAATGAACAGACGGACAGACTGGCTGGCTCTGCACAAATTGGCTAAATACTGATATATAAGGCAGACATGGTTAGTGCCTTGTAGGAAAGCGTGTACAGTTCGGAGTGGCAGATGGATCACCACAGTCTGTTAGATTGATGCTGGGGGGGGGGGGGGGGGGGAAGAACGAGAGGTTCTGGCAAATGCTCGAGGCTCAGAGGAAAGGCAAGACGAACGTTTAATCAGAATTCTACTGACATCATTAGTATCAGAACTCTTCGCTGGCTGCTGAAGATGGGGACAAAGCACTTATGGGAATGCCCCAAGTGCTGTAATATCAGTTCTCGAATCAAATCATCTAATGTGGTATATATTTGTCCAATTCCAAAGCAAAGCGACCTCTGTGGGTCTATGAAGTTGAAGAACTAGGACTGTCCACTTGTAGACAACAGCTGACTAAACTTACCCATAACACTGACCCCTGAACCTTCATGGTCCAACAGTTCCTTTTGTGCATATGCCAGGACCTGCAAGCAAGAAACAGAGGTAGTTATGTTTCATTTAAATGCATGTAGTACAGCTGACATATAATCCCACATAACTGTGTATTTTTGATACTCCATGTAAACATATGAACTGCTGTGGCACAGTGGTTAATATTAATGCATCTGTCTGTCAATACGGTCGTCAAGTTGAACTCCCAGAAGAGGATGGCATTTTCTGACTAGCACAACTTGAAGGTTGAGCCAACCCTATTCAAATGAAAGCAAGAAAAAAGGACAAACCCCCCCCCCCCCCCCCCTTTTTGTTCAGAATAAATGAAGGGCCTCAGATGACATGGCTTGGAAGTTACATGGCTTACTCCACTAGTATTACTCTATTCATAAAGCTGTCACATTGTACATATCATATATAAAACTAGAACACAGGAAACATTTTGTGTCTACTGAAATGCATTCTAGACTAGGGTAAGCTAGAACAAAGAAAGTTGTAAGCAAGATTCCTCATGCATGTTTCTACACTCAGTGTTAAGTTTGCAGATACTTGCAGTATTCTTTCACAGCGTCATTTTTTTTAAGGGTCTCATGTTCACAAATATCCTTATCAAGAAACACTTTCACCTAATTACCCCAAATTGCTGCCTTAAAATACTCTTAAGATAGTATAAGTTCAAACACAAATTCTAAAACAGCAATCCTAGCCAAATTAAATTTTGAACAAATAATGATCATATGTGTGAACTGTTTTTTAAAACTATTATTTCTCTTAACAAGCCTGTGCTTATACCTTCCCTTATGAGACATAGGGTAGGATAGTTTCTTTAGTTCAGCCCAGTGGAATATTCTCAATATTTGCAAACATATTAATTACAGAAATGTCAGTATTAGGTTTCAGAAGCCAACTTTAGAACTGACAGCAGTCATCATACACATGTCAGGGTCAAAATATCACATCATGAAATCTCACAACAAGGAACTGATGACAGTCATTAGGTCATGAAATTTAACAGTGCATTTAAACGGCTGTTCTTAAACCCATTAAGTTGGTTAATCTATGCAAAACATAGAGCAATGGATAAATGTACTGGTATCGAAAAAGTTGGTGAAAGCAGCATTGTCTCTTAACCAGTGGTTTCCAACCCTTTTTCAGTTGGGGCCTGCTTGAATATATAGCAAGTTTATGTATGTCCTTTGTTTCAACTATTATGTATATTTTGCGTGTGTCCATTCTGCACATAATAATAATTGTTCATGTTATTATTATTGTGCACTTTAACGCTTTTCCCCTAAAGCCCCCCCCCCCCCCAACCTTCAATTTCTAGTTTCGGGGGTAGGGGTGCTTTAGAACATTAGTATTATTATCTAGTAATTAAATAAGGCTCAAGCCGCCCCCCCCCCCCCCCCCCAAATACTGGTTTTGGGTTGCGCCATCGCATGCAAGGTCTAAATTATTCCAGAAATGGGTCAGTGCCTGCATCAGGCAAGATTGTGTGCTTATTTGACACACGATTCATTTTTTAGCACATTTTAAATTGAGCTGGTGTATTTGGGTTTTCCTGGCTTTTCTAAACAAGATGTTCTCACATTTTCTTCATGGTTCCACTGTAAGAAACATGCAGATTTACTAAAAGCAACGAAGGCCTACAGTCAACATCTTTATTTCAGTTTGTTGTGATGTCCAAGTACACAGACTAAAGGAGATTCTTATCATCTCTATTAATGTATGAGCATCTGTGTATTGATATGTTGTCTTTCTAAACGGATCCTGACTGCCATAAACCAAGCCCCTATGTAATGTAACTATAATAAATCAGGTCACTGATAAACAATCTCACGTTCACACTTAATGTAGTACAGAGTCAAAGCCTGGAGGGCTGCGCTGGTGGTGAGTTTACTAAAAGAGAATGTTAATTTACTAGAATAAATGCGGGATATTAAAACCAAAACCCGCAAATTATACCAAGGGATTCAGACTTCAGAAACTACACGAGGATAAAAGGTAGAGATGACATAGACCTAGTTCTAACTGTGACAAATTTCAATTACTGTTGCCAATGGCCACGTTTTCCTGACAAAAAATGGAAGGCATCCTATGACAAGGGCAAGTATAATATTAATTGGGAGAAAACATACAGTAACATGGTCCAAAAGATCAGACGGATCAGAAGCAGCACATTGTAAACATTGTAACATATTAAATCATAAAAAAATAAAACAATGAAAACTTCGCCAAAAAGCCAGTCACAGCTTAGAGAGTACATTGGAACACATACGGCTGCATAGAACTAAATGTTCACGTATAATAAAAAAAAAAAAATATGATATCGCTTGCACTTAAAACTGTATCTTCCAATGAGGACGTCAGTCAGGAATTCATTCAATCTAGAGCTTTTGATGTGAAGTAAGCACAATGTTTTTTTTCTAGCGTAATTTTTGTAGTTAAAATTGCAGGTTTTTTTTTTTTTTTATCTGGCAAGCCTTTCATCAAGTTGTTCGACAACAAAACGATCCCCCTCTCCCAAATTCCGGGTAGACAGTTAAGTGACAAAAAAGTGGGATCCGCAGATTAAGAAATTTCTCCAAGATTAATACTTTTACGATATCATATAATATATGTATGTATATGTGTGTGACTGTATTCTTCTTCTGACTTTCTATTCCCCAATGGAGCAAAGGCCCTCAACCAACTCACGCCAAGAAATTCTATCCTTCGCCATTACATGGAGCTCTCCTTGTGACTGTATACGCATGTAAAAAATATAGCTCTGTACTGGAAATGTGTGATTGTAAACAATGTGTTTACCAAGTTTTTCTTTCAGCGCAATATTTGAACGATTTTCCTTGAATGCGGTCAGCTACCCCCGCCCTCGATTGTTCTATTTATCTATTTGAGTACCAGGGCCAAGGAACGGAAAACTTACAGCGCCCCCACCCCCTTTTTCCATTTTTTTTTCTCTGATATCCACAGTATAACCCACTTCACCTGTGCTAATGCTCAACACAAGACCATGGAAGGAGGATGTGCGAAGTAGTGTGGCCAGTCAGGGAAACACACAAAGGAATGTAGGCTGTCGTTCGTGGCCTTGACCCGTGCGCGAACACATGTAGAAGCGCGTGTGTCTGAACTAGATAACAGTTGGTTAACAGTGCAGGTATTTTACAGTAGTTATTACTATGGAGGTATACAGTGTCAGACTTGTAAATGTTCTAGGCCACGACAAACGAAGTGTGGAGACCAGTTGCCTCTCTCACAGCATCTTACCGGCTAATTCCAAGAAATGTATACAATTTGTCTACTTACTAGTACCAATTTTTAAAGAGTCTATGTTGACGTTTCAAGTTTATCGATCCCTCCCAAGATTTTCTTATAAACATTTTCTAAAGTATCCTTACAGTGACGAAGGGTGCAGTTTCCGGAAAACAAGGCAGAGGCCGACGACCACGAACGTGGACACAGACTGCACTGGTTGTGAGTGCACGCGGGTCAAGATAGATCCTTTAGCCGTGCCGTGAAGATAGCGACGTTCTGTAAAGGACTTGCTGACTGATGATAATCCTGACATCTTAGTAATTTCACTTAACCTCACTCCACAAAGTACAGTGATGTTTTCATAAACACAGCCTACACTTGCAAAGCAACAAATAAACATCTATTCTAATAATGTGCACATCATATACCATCTTACACGAACACATCTTGAATTCAGAGGTTTTATCTGTGTCCTCCCAATGCTCTTTCCTATAAAGTTTGCTGGTTATCACTAAGTTTTCAAATTCAAATCTCCCAAACATAAAAGACTACCAAAATCTACCTAATTGTACTGTCTCTTTTAAGAACGACTCAGTTTTTCCTGACTGGTCATTGTATTCTCCTTCAATTACAACTTTTTCTCTCTACAATCTCAACAAAAATACCTAGTTCTAAAATCTTTAAAAAAAAAATACCCTCACCAACACTTTATGATCCACATCAAAGTCCCCATAAAAGGTAGATGAATTAAGTTGGTTCAAGAACCAATATCACAGAACTTGGGGAATTCCCATCTTCAGCAGCAAGCGTGTTCGAATACCAATGGTGCCAGCAGCAGTCTGATTATATGTCCGTCATGAGTCATGCCTTTCCTCTGAGCGTCAAGTAGTGGCCAGATCTCATCACTTCCCGCTGCATCACTCTCACCAGACTGGTGATCCATTTGCTCCTCTAAATTGTACACGTTCTCCCACAAGACCCTAACCATGTCTGCCTTATCATGCATCAATATTCCACCAAGTTGTGCAGAGTCGGCCATTTGAAGTTTCTAATGATGTGGTTTATGTGTGGATTTATATATGCTATCTGACTTTCCTCCCCTCAGTATGAACCCCAGTGTCTGGTGGCTAATAGTACCAGATGAACCCCAGTGTCTGGTGGCTAATAGTACCAGTTCTATGTTAATAAACAAGTCCTTTGATGTGCCTCGTGTGCATCTTGTTTTTGCTATGCCGATCTGAACTCAAGTCTATTATTCTAATGAGTGATATGGATTTATCGCTCTTAAAGTCCTTCACTCTTCCCATTTCTTTGAGGGCATTGTTAATATCAGCATGATCCAAAGGTTGACCGTCAGTAGTGATAGCAGATCCAGCAAACCAATCAGCTCTTGTCATTTCTATCAATACCTGCGTGTCCCGAAATGAAAATAAAGGTGCCTATGCACAGAGGACTTCTGTAACGATTCAAGCCATTGCCTTCGCACCAAACCTGCCTGAACCCTCCAGATCACTCATTGAATCGTTAAGTACACCAGATGCTTCGGGTGGATGCCGCTCAGCTAGAAGTAAGAAAACGGATTTCTTACTTTGAGCAGATAAAGCTAAATGAAAGCAGCTCATCTAGGAGAAGGAAAACTGATGTCAAATCTCAACTTCAATCCGTAAAGCGTTTCAACTGTTTTTACTGCTGCCCAAGTTATTCCTGCAACATCTGGGAAAATCAGTACTGGCACTTGCCCTTCCCTTGGCATTACTGGCAACATAGAGGGGGTTGCCTGCTCCCTGGGCAACAGCCTATACTCAACACAACCAGACCTATGCAGTGGACAGCTTACTCCAGCATCACTTAACAGCTTCAACACAACATGAAAAGCACCAGTTACCAGACAGTTATAAGCCTGTGCTCAAATGGCACAGAATAAGGCACCAGCCTGGTGGAAGAGATTATCATAATCTCATGTGACAAGCTGATGTCCTGACAGCACTCCCTGAATGCAGTGAAACCTGGACCCTGTATGCTCCTCAAGAAAAAAAGACAATACTTTCGATATGCACTATATAAGACAATCTTTATATATTACGGCAAAACTTTTCCCATAGCCAATGTGTACACCGGCTCTGGTTGGTACATGCCTCTCAAATGGGAGATGTTCGTATTCCAAAAAAAATCTAAATGGTGAACTGGAAACCCGAAAAAGATCTGCAGGAGACCAAGGCTATGGTATGAGGACATGTGCAAATGTGAACTAAAGACACCAACACTGACACCTACACATTCGGCAAACACTGACAAGACAGACAGTGCCACTTTGCAAGAGAACAAACGCACCAAGCTATATAATTTATCCGGGAAACAGAAGATCAGCCTCTGTATAATATACTTTATAAATAGAGTGTGAATGTTTGTAATCACTCCTGCATCAGATTGTACAGTCGTAGCAGACGCTATTCCACAAAATCAGTGCGCTATTTCCCAAACAAGTGCAAATACACACAGATCCACGATTCCTGGGAGCTGATGGCTGCCTATACAATAAGTTTTAAGTTTAGTTGCAGCTTTTGACTTTAATATTAATTTAAGCATGTTTTGTACCCATTAAAAGTCAACTAGCTCCTTTTTATCTTGACTCCCAGCTTCGTACAAGACATCAGTAGATACACGTCTGTTCCATTCAGTAACTAACATTTATTCCCATATGTGTATGTATTGTCAATCAAGATGATGATGACCACTCTTTTTCACCAAGTATGAGTATGAAGATGACCAATGAGACCCATGTGGGCCTAAATAGTTCTTGGACAGTGAGGACAGGGAATGAGTGTTGTGTTGTGCCAGGGAGGGAATCTCCTGCAGTCGCTTTTCTGTCCATCCTTTTCTCAATAAGTCTTGCTGTTCTGTTTGCTTCACATGTAGCTGCACCCTTTTATAGAGTTGTACGCCATGCATTTTGGTCTTGAGAGGCAGTCTCCTAAATGGTGTCATTCATCCCCAATGCTTTGAGTGAAGACTTCAAGGTGTCCTTAAAATGTTTCTTTTGCCCACCTTGGGAACGTTTCCCATTTTGCATCTCACCATAGTTTTTTTGGGAGCCTGTGATCTGGCATGTGTGCCACATGACCAGCTCAACAAATCTGATGCTGCATCAGTAGAGTGTAGATGCTGGGCATGGCTGCTTTCTCAAGGACTATGGTATCAGGTACTTTGTATTGCCATCTGATCTGCATTAGTTTTCTAAGGCAGACTGTGAATGTGGTTTAACTTTCTAGCCTGGCGCTGGTATGCAGTCTATGTTTCACATGTGTAGTACAGCAGTGTACTTAATACAACTACTCTGTATACTTTTGTCTGCAGGGTTATGCAACTTCTTTTCCAAACATTTTTGTACAATCTGCCCAAGACAACCATAGCTCTAAAGATCCTTGCATTTACTTCGTCATTTGTGGCACTCTGTGAAAAGGTGCTGCCTAGATAAGTAAATTTCCTGACAACACTTAATCTGTGGCCATTCACTGTGATCTTCCGCTCGATTATCTTTGCCCTGGGGCTGGCTGGTGCATGGCTACAGTTTTATCTTTGTTGATGGTGAGCCCAAAGTTACAGGCATCACTGAATTTGTCGATGTTGTGCTGCATATCCGCTTCTGTGTTGGTTTAAAGGGCACAATCGTCGGCAAACAGGATTTCCCTGACCTGATGGTGTCTAGTTTGGTTTTCCTTTTTGCTTTCAGCCTCCTGAGGTTGAACAGCTTTGCATTCATGGGGTAATTTATGTCGATTTCAGTGTGATCATTTACAAAGGCATCAGTCAGCATGGCTGAAAGTAACAGACTGAACAGTGACGGTGCAAGCACACAGCCCTATTTGACTCCGTTTGTGACAGGAAAGGACCGACAGTTCACTGTTATCCTGCCATCATGAAACTGACGCACTATCTGGATGAACTTGTGTGGGCAACTAAATTTCCCCATAATCCCCCACAGCTTCTCTCGATTTACTGTGTCATAAACGCTTTCATGGGCTCTCCTTCGAGCGGCATCATAAAATGGCGGCAATAATATGATGCCGTTCGAAGGAGAGCTAAATTGGCCACATTCTGGCCATAAAATATCTGAATGGGGCTCAGTCTGGCTTCGTATAATGAAACAAATGCTCTAACAGGGTCTCAGCGATATGTTACTTGGGGACCTGCTTCTGCGAGTGCCTCACTGTCGACCGTATCCCCCCCGCGCCGCTACGCGCGGATGGGGACTAAACTAGATGGCTGGTACTCACGAGCAGCAGCTACCGCATCTCCTGCAACTTCCTCCAATTACTTAACTCGTGAGTCCCAGGCACCTAGTTTAGCCCCCCATATATGAGTTTGATCGCGTTTTGCGCATGCCAACAAGTCTGACATCTACCGTTGCTAAATCTTCAATCGGAAGAACAGTATTGCTAATTGCTTTCATCGTCTGTAATGTCTCGAAATTGTCAACGGTCGCTAATATCGGCTAATAGCGTCTGCTAGTATCGTCTGCAGAAACGCTCAAAATTGTCAACGGTCGGTATTTATCGTCTTCTACTACCGTGTGCAATGCTGATATTGTCAAGTAATCCTAGTTTTGCCGCGATTTGTTCCTTGGCAGAAAGTCCGTATTTTAGATATGGCTGAACACTGTTGGGATATTTTTGGATATTTTACGGCCAGAATGTGGCATCATATTATAGCCGCCATTTTATGATGCCGTTCGAAGGAGAGCCCTTTCGTGTAAGATCAATAAAGATGGAAAACATTGTTCGAATTCTGTTCTTGAGGTTTCTCTTGCAGCTGTCTGAGATGCTGACTAGTGACATGTTACAACTTAACCAACTTTTTTTCTGAGCTGTCGCCACAATGATATTGGGTATAGTGGCTGATCAGTGATGTACTCAACTGTGCGTGTACATGGGTACACCGTGTCCACTGATTTGTCTTTTTTGGGAATATCACGCGTTGAGGTGCCAATACCCAATACTATAGAGATTCCACGGCAATAATCATAATATAACTCACTGTAACTAACACTAACAGATACTAATACTGTAATATGTTTTTGAAATGTATACATGAAAATGGTGAACTACTACTACTGATTATGATTAAGCGGCTACTGAATGTAGTTTATAGAATAAATAAATATATATATATATATATATATATATATATATATATATATATATATATATATATATATATATATACTTTAATTTTCGATAAGACCTATATATGTTATATAATTTAATTAATTATAAATTAAAAGTAAACACAGTGAAGTAAATTATAACGCTACTTGCCGCTTCTGGTAATTTTGCTGGTCCTGCTGAAAAATTAATCACCGATTTTGGTTTGACTTCTTCTCTGATGTCACCCATGTTGTTGAAGTTGTTTTCCTCTCAAAACTGGTCGAGACAGTAATTATTCTAAAATGTGTTTGCGTTTGAAAGACCGACAGGCCGCAGCCTCTACATTTTATATAGGGGCGCTGTGGGGCAGGGGGCGGCGCCAGTTAGAAGTCATTTGATTGGTCAACACCACGCACTGGGGTCGCGCAGGTCAACAGACGTAACGGACACGTTAGACGGATGTAAAGGTCTGGGTCAAAGTTGCTGTAACAAAGTGACTATGTTTCGTCAGTCGATAAACAACATGGCCTGTAATAAACTGCAAATCAGGGCAACAGAAGTACGTAGTGTAAAAGAAAGGACGGATGTTGTGTCGCAAGGACTTATATCGGTATACATCAGTTGGCATTCCTTGGGTAATGTGATCATCACTCCCGCCACTTTTTTTTCCCATGGCGTTGCCTGATCCCCATTTTAGGTTGGGTCAACCTGGAGTCCAAAGCCAATATTGATGAACAAAATAAATGAAAAATAACAATTTGTCTTAATATGAATTCTAGCCCAATATCGTCCGGCTAGCCACACACAAAAACATGACAACTAACAAGAAAGTAGAGATTGGAGTGAATAAACTGGGAGTCAACATAGGCTGAGCTGAGCACCAGGACCGGAACCTTGGGGCTCAGTCACCTTAAGCCCCCCCCCCCCCCCCTTTCCACCGCCGCTGGTGGTCATAATCCCTCTCTCCATTTTCATGGTCGAGCTGAGGCCCTCATGAACTTTGACGTTTGTAGTGGATTGACCCGCCCCCTCCCCCTTTTCCACACCCCACCCCGACCACCATCTACAATAGTTTTCTTTTTAGGTAGCCCTATTTATTTGCACCGTACGTCTTATTTCCAATATATATTATTTATATTTGCTATTCAGCACATAATAATAAATGATAATACTATTGCGCATATAAACAAGAATAGAGGCCCTCACCAATCTATAGACAATTATTAGGGGGTTGACCGCTCTTCCGCGCATAATTTCTTTAGGGGCACCCTTGGTGTTGAGATGCATTAGAGAGTACCTGTTATGTTTTGGTCAGCAAAAAAGAGAGTGACTTCCCTTCCCATTCATGTGTCGTCGGGTCGCAGGGCCTCTCCTATGTTGCGATGGCGTTATGATGTGGCTTCGTTCGGCGTTCGCTTGCCGTATTTAATGTTTCTGTGAGGTTGTGTTGTGAGTCTCTTTGAGGCGCCATAGTCTCCTTTCAGATGGAAGCGCCGTAGGCGTATGGTTCGTGAGTATCGGAAATGGAATGGGTTTTTTCCTACGTTCGTGGAGGTGGCTTCCCCAGAAAAAGAAGCCACTGACAAGGAACGTAGGGATAGAAAAACATTCCAGTTTCCATACCCCCTAACCTTTGCGCAAGTAGCAGAATGTGAAAATAATCACGTAAGTAAGAGGTGACAACACGAAAAAAAAAGGAAAAATGGTTAAAGCGTTGACAATAGTAAATACATGACATCCCTGCAACATAGGAGAAGTTATGCGACCCGAAAAGGCATGAATGAGAAGGGAAGTCTCTTTTTGTGGACCAAAACGTCACTAGTACCCATATAAGATTGAACGACTTGGCGTTAGTTGGCTGATACTCCAATGGGGGAAGGTGGGTAGGAATATGAAGCAAAATAAGAAAAATAAAAAACGCTTTCACGCACTGAGACGTGTTTAGTACATTGTGCTAATCCTATACTGCTGGAGATCAGTCAAGTCTCGATGATAAATATCAAAGCCAACGGCCTTGAATTTCTAGAACATCTGGTAACACACAGTGGAGCCTCGCTTAACGAGCATAATTCGTCCCACAATCATACTCATAAAGCAAGACACTCGTTATGCGAAACAATTGTTTTCATATAAATGTAAAATACGATAATGTGTTCCATGTCAAATAAATACTCACAAAATATTATGTGTAACGTTTATTGTAAGAAAATTATATACATATTGTTCATCTTTTCTTTCACCGTGGAACGAACCCACCTGGAATGCGAATTCGATTTGCAGAAAGAAAATTGAAACAATTATGATAAATACCTAATTATTTTTTACTAGAAATTATCAACTTAGTAAAGGCAACATATAAAGACATGAAATGTCGAGTTCTTCATGAGGGAAAGCTAACAGATGCATTTGAAATAAAAACAGGTGTGCGACAGGGATGTCTTTTGTCGCCTCTCTTATTTTTACTGGCTATAGACTGGACTATGAAAACAGTAACTGCTAACACCAAGAATGGAATTCAGTGGACCCCTACAAAACAGCTTGATGATCTGGACTTCGCTGATGATATTGCTCTTCTGTCCCATTCACGGAATCAGATGCAAGATAAATTAAATATACTTAATGCGAGATCACAGCAGCTTGGTCTGAAAATCCATAAAAGAAAGACAAAGATAATGAGAATAAATCAGGCAAATAGTAATGTGGTTTCTCTCAATGGCACCCCACTCCAAGACGTGGAGTCGTACACCTATTTAGGCAGTAATGTAGATAAAGATGGAGGAACTGATAGAGATAATAAAATAAGAATACAAAAGGCAAGATGGGCTTTCATAGCACTAGGGAATTTGTGGAGGTCAAAAGAAATTAAAAGAAATACTAAACTAAAAATTTTTAATTCTAATGTCAAATCAGTACTGTTGTATGGGGCGGAAACATGGAGAACAACGAAGGCAATTACTAATAAATTACAGACATTCATTAACTGGTGCCTGCGCAGAATAGAGGGAATAAAATGGTATGATAGAATAACTAATGTAGAACTTTGGGAGAGAACTAAACAGGCTCCAGTGGATCAGGAGGTGAGGAAAAGGACACTGGCGTTGGATAGGGCACACACACTGAGAAAAAACATGAGAACAGCATAACTAGAAAGTCTTTGCATTGGAACCCACAGGGGCATAGGAATAAAGGAAGGCCAAAAAACACATGGAGAAGAGAGCTGGAGAATGAGGTTAGAAAGATTGGGAGGACATGGGGAGAGCTCCATGTAATGGCGAAGGATAGGACGACTTGGCGTGAGTTGGTTGAGGGCCTATGCTCCATTGGGGGATAGAAAGGCAAAAGAAGAAGAAGAAAGAGGTCCAGAGACATTTGTTTTTGCTGACGATTCAAAATTTGGCGAAAATGCGACACAGCATTATCATTATATAAATCTGCAGCGCGTATAGCTTCTCAATGTAAGATGCAACAGTTTCCCATGATTTCAGCATTTCTCTTTTTTTCGCCAGAAGATTGTTGGTACTGTCCCGAACCCCTCAAAGTCACATTCGACTTTTCCAAGCTTTAGGGTTCTCTTGGTAACCCCATCCCACGCCTTGTCGATCATCTTGAGGCAAGCAACAATGTGGAAGTGATTTTTCCAAAACTCTCTGAGAGTGAGGTTGGTCCCTTCAGTCACCCGAAAACAATGCTCGAAGAGTGCTTTAGTGTAGAGCTTCTTAAAGTTGCTGGTCCATGATCTGGAGTAACGTAGTGATGTTGGGATAAACTCAATTTCTTCAGGGATGTCATCACGTAGGCCTGGAGGATGGACAGGAACGTTACCCATAACAAGCAAGACATGGAGTGGCAGATTAATCTCAAGCAAATATTTTTTCACAGAAGGACCAAACACTTCATTGATCCACTCAGTAAAAAGGTCACGTGTGACCCAAGCCTTCCTGTTGGACCTCCACAACATATTTAGCCTGCTCTTCTAGTTTTTGCATTTATTGAAGGCTCTTGGAGTTCCTGAATGGTAAACAAGCAGCGGTTTAATTTTCAAATCGCCACTTCCATTGGCACAAAATATTAACGTGAGACGGTCTTTTATTGGCGTGTGGCTGGGCAATGCATTCTCCTCTGCTGTTAAAAACGTTTGCTTCGGCATTTTTTTTTCCAGAAGTGTCTGTTTCGTCACAATTAAAAACTTCAGCAAGTAACCTTCAGAATCTACGAGGTTCTTGAAATCGCCGATGAAGTTCTCTGCTGCTTTTGTGTCGGAACTTGCTGCTTCACCGTTCCTCACAACGCTATGGATGCCGGTTCTCCTCTTGAACTTCTTGAACCACCCGAGGCTTCCCTTAAATACTTCTTCTTCGACGTTGATGATCCTGACGTCTTCTTAACGAGGTGGCGAAAATCATTTTCGCCTTCTCACAAAAGATGTTCTCGTTAATAGTGGCACCTTGCAATTGCTTTTCATTTATGCATATGAAAAGCAACCTTTCAACATGGTCAAGAATACGTTGCCTTTGCGCAGATATTCTTGACGCTCCCTGTGAAGTATCTTTCTTTTCAATCTTATCCTTGTTCTTGAGGAAAGTGCAAATCTTTGATGTATGGGCGTGCTAGATCAGCACGCTTACACCTCGTTCTCGCTTTTCAATGATTTGGTGTTTCATTTTTATGGTGAAGTTTTTCTATGGGGAATTTAAAATCGGCTAATCAGCCATGTGCACATGTGGACTGGCACCTGAGACAACAGATCATGTCCTCCAAGACTGTCCCAAATACAACATATTAAGGCAAAACTTTTGGCCAAGAGAAACATCTGTGCAAGTCAAACTTTACGGTTCGCTGAGTAAATTACAAAAGACGGCGAAGTTCATACTAGAGACAATACTACAGATATAATCTATTTCAAGCGAATGAAAGAAGAAGATGCCTATGGTTATTTTTACTCTCTTATGGCTGTTTTCTTGGACATTTTTGCAAGGGTTTATAAAACTATTCACACACACAATTAAAAATCTATTTCCTAATTATATTCCTAACAATTAATTCAATTTATTTTTATTCATGTACATATATATAACACCAGTATAACACAAGCCTCAGAAAATGTGTGACCACAAGCGACACTACGATGCTACTTGAACGAGAGCTAAACACAGACTGATGTAACATGCGCACAATCCGGGACTTCCCCTCTCCTCGCCACTCGTTACGCGAAACGTCGCTCGTTAAGCAAGTCATTACACTTATTTGTT